TCCCCTTGAAATCAGATCATAATTCACCCACACAGAGACGAGGGGAAGCATGAAACTCATTTGTCATTGGTCCAAGTTGCCAGCCACATTGACGTCTCTGAATGCGTTCACGTAAAAACTTTTTTTTATTGTTATATATCCAGGTAAGACTATAATTGGGGGTTGAGACGGAGGGTAAACTATTATATGACCTGGTTTTCTGAGAGAGTATTAACAAATTGAACACTGACATAATCCTACTGGACAAAACTCCTATTGGTCAAAAATCTTATTGGACAAAAATCCTATTGGACAAAAATCCTATTGGTCAAAAATCTTATTGGACAAAAATCCTATTGGACAAAAATCCTAGTAGATATAAATCCTATTAGAAAAAAGTAGCACAATTCTAATACAATGTCGTTAGGTTAGGTTAAGTTAGGTTAGATTAGTGCAAGTATATATTGGGTTAGACTAGGGAAAATAATTCGTTAACAGATCAAGTTAGGGTTACTTTGAGTTAGGTTAACTTAAGTTAGGTTACTGTGCATTAGGTTCAGTTAAATTAGGTTAGATTGGGTTCAGGTAGTTACTTTGGGTTAGGTTAATTATGTTAGGTTACTTTGGATTAGGTTAAGTTGGGTTCGATTACTTTGGGTCAGATTAGGTTAACTTAAGTTAGGTAAGATGGTATATCACACCTAAAACCTAACCTAACCTAACCTAACAAGTACTTACCTACACTGGGCGAGAGGGTTGTGGTGGCAGCGAGAGGTAGAGTGAGTGTGGCTAGTGAGAGGTCCGCGTGGTAAGTGAGGGAGTGAGAGAGAGAGGGAGGGAGGGTGAGAGGGTGAGAGGGAGAGAGGGAGGGGTTGCCGTGGGCCACTCTCACCACTTACATACAGACTGACGCAGTTACACGCTTCGACCTATATAGTTCTGTCTTGTTCAACCACAATTAACAGTTACCACTTACATTTTCCCCTCACTTAATGTTTATACACTTACCACTTACAGTCCCCCACCTACAGTCTATACACTTACCACTTACATTCCCCCACCTACAGTCTATACACTTACCACTTACATTCCCCCACCGACAGTCTATACACTTACCACTTACATTCCCCCACCTACAGTCTATACACTTACCACTTACAATCTCCCACCTACAGTCTATACACTCACCACTTACATTCTCCCACCTACAGTCTATACACGTACCACTTACATTCTCCCAGTCTATACACGTACCACTTACATTCTCCCAGTCTATACACTTACCACTTACATTCTCCCACCTACAGTCTATACACTTACCACTTACATTCTCCCAGTCTATACACTTACTTACAGTCTATACACCCCACCACTTACATTCACCTACAGTCCTATACACTTACCATACATTCTCCCAGTCTATACACATACATTCTCCCAGTCTATACACTTACCACTTACATTCTTTAGTCTACACTTACCGCCCATTCTCACAGTCTATACACTTACCACTTACATTCTCCCACCTACAGTCTATACGTACACCCATTCTCCCAGTCTATACACTTACCACTTACATTCTCCCAGTCTATACACTTACCACTTACATTCTCCCACCTACAGTCTATACACGTACCACTTACATTCTCCCAGTCTATACACTTACCACTTACATTCTCCCAGTCTATACACTTACCACTTACATTCTCCCAGTCTATACACGTACCACTTACATTCTCCCAGTCTATACACTTACCACTTACATTCTCCCAGTCTATACACTTACCACTTACATTCTCCCAGTCTATACACTTACCACTTACATTCTCCCACCATATACTGTGCTGGGCTGATCAATAATTAAGAGGACGGGGTCATAAAAATCGGGTGCTCATTAATGTTGCAGGAATAACCTTACAAGAATGGAACACGTGTTAGACTGAGTTAGAACACGTGTTAGACTGAGTTAGAACACGTGTTAGACTGAGTTAGAACACGTGTTAGTCTGAGTTAAAACACGTTTTAGCCTCAGTTAGACATTGTGTGTGTGTGTGTGTGTGTGTGTGTGTGTGTGTGTGTGTGTGTGTGTGTTCATACTACCTTTCAATCTTGGTAAAACGTTCGGATCACTTGAAAATTAGACACCCCAATAAATAAATAAATAAAGAAATAAAAGGCTAGAGTTCACTGACTATGGATGATTCGTACATCAATACAACACTCCTGCCTAACATAACGCTAAATTAACATAATTTAACCTAACCTAAATATAATCTAATATTAACATACTTAACAAATAACCTAACCTAATTTATAGCCTATCCTAATGCTAACTTAATATAAACTAACCTAACCTAACACTCTTCAATGGATGGTTCTTCATTATGTTAGAAGACGGGGTCAAGAGGCCTCATTGAGTGACTAGGAAAGAAATGTATATAGAGTATAATAAATAAATACAATTAAGAGACCCAACAAAACAGTATATAGGGCAAGAGTCTAGACACGCCCCTCCAACAGCAAGACTTCTCAAGGCCACTACTCAATATTCTGGTGCCCGGCCACAACATACACCAAGGCCACTACTCAATATTCTGGTGCCCGGCCATAACATCCACCAAGGCCACTACTCAATATTCTGGTGCCCGGCCATAACATCCTACTCAATATTCTGGTGCCCGGCATAACATCCACTAAGGCCACTACTCAATATTCTGGTGCCCGGCCAACATCCACCAAGGCCATACTAATATTCTGGTGCCCGTATAACATCACACCACACAATATTCTGGTGCCCGGCCACAACACACCAAGGCCACTACTCAATATATTCTGGTGCCCGGCCATAACATCCACCAAGGCCACTACTCAATATTCTGGTGCCCGGCCATAACATACACCAAGGCCACTACACAATATTCTGGTGACCGGCCACAACACCCACCAAGGCCACTACAATAATCCTCATCAGGTCATAGTCTTATAAAACCAAACTGTAATGCTGCCTATTAGAAAAGAACGAGATTACCTGAAGATTAACCCTCAGCTTATTTTACCTTAACATTAAGTACCCTGATTTTAACCTAACCTCACCTGACCTGACCTTAACATCAACCACCCTCACGCTAACCTACCCTTCACCCCACCAGGAAGTATTATTGGGTGTTTAATCATCGGGTGAAATAAACTTGGGGGATTAATCTTCAGGTAAACCCAAAAGAACAACATAGCTGTCAGGTCAATATATCCCACATAAACAGATTACGTATATCAACAGAACAAAGTTGAGTTATTCATCATTCACGTTATACCTGTAAGTATAACCCAGCTGGAGCCACGCCACTACCCCGCCACGTTTTTCGCTTCCTTCAATACTTTCATTCTAACTTCTTATCGAACCTGCGTGCATGTTCCCACCTAAAAATGTCCAGTACCAAGTATATTCTTCCACTTACAGGAACATACATCCACGTATATTCTTCTACCTACAGGAACGTATGTTCTCCCACCTACAGGAACGTATGTTCTCCCACCTACAGGAACGTATGTTCTCCCACCTACAGGAACGTATGTTCTCCCACCTACAGGAACGTACTGTATGTTCTCCCACCTACAGGAACTTACAACCACGAATATTCTTCCACCTACAATGATAAATTCCTTTAATACTGTAATTGAATATTTAAAAGGGGATTCAGCACATTTTTGGTGGTGGCGGTGATGATGATGACAGCGGCTAGCTTATTGTGTACCTCTTACTCATCCTGTAAGCGGTTGCGCAAAACGATTACAGAGTAGAGGTCACAAAGGTTGTGTATAACAGACCCCAGTGGCATTGAATGTTACAGATTATTTCAATATTGTTTGTTTGGTTCTGAACATAAAGGTTGACTTATTCACGCCTGCGTGAGTGCAGCGGTGTGAGGCCATGTGCCTGACCACATTTGCGTGACGGATATTCAAGCACAGTGTGTGTTTAGTTCTTACATAAGAACCAGCTTATTGACTAAGTGCAAAAAAGTGATACAATCTTAATACAGTATGTCAGCTGTTTTGTCATCAGAGATAAAGTGTTGTCCCTAAAAGCTTCTATCCTCACAGTTTAGGACGTAGTGTAGTGTTGGAGTGTGTGGCCATATGTCTGGCCACACACTTTACATTTAATTCTGTTCACATCTACCTGAGGCATACTGCCAGAGGATCTAATAATATCCTAACCTTAGTCTAGCGGTTACAACAACTTGTGGTGGTGGTGGTAGAGTAGATGACTTAAACACTTACATTAATGCAAATGGAGAAAGTCGTGACTCGGTAAACATGACATGGCACAGCGGTTTGTACAGTAGTTGCGTGTGGTGGTGGTGGTGGTGTCCTGACAAACTTATCCGAGAGTGATTTTCGATATTTGGTTACTTGTCACTCTGTCACTAGTTTGGTTGTACGATACCTGACGTTACATGGCCATGGTGATGTTACGAGGTCTGTTTTATGGACATGGTGATGTTATGAGGTCTGTTATATGGACATGGTGATGTTACGGTGTTAAAGGTGTAGGTGTTGTGTTGAGTGAGTGTTGGTAAGGTAAGTGTGCCATTACATGAAGTGTTAGGTTAGGTTAAGTGAGATTAGATTAGGTTACCGTTAGGGTGGTCAATCTTCAGGTTAAATAAGTTGGGGTGTCTAATCTTCTACAAACACAGAAGGAAAATGAAACACAATCAGATGCATTGTTAGTTTATATTAGGGCAAGAGAGACAGACATATGTTTATACAGTATCTATAAATTACTGTTTATCCTCAAGTTCTCATATTAACCAGTGTTAGTGATCACGTCTACACTACACTACAGGTTTAATACAGCAAGTAAACATTTCTTAAATACAGTATGTTCAAATTAACCACAGCGACTGCACGTTTTACAGCAAGTACAGTCCCCTTCACTAGTGCATTTACAGGGGCTCGTCACATAAACATTCCACAAATCATTACATTAAGATATTAGTTTTAATATTGTTTTACTTTGATTTCATAGTAGGTTAGATTAGATTAGGTTAGGTTGGCGCTACGGTGTTTAATAATATCATCAGGTGACATAAACTTTGGTGTCAAAACTTTATGGACCGCTAAGTAATACCTAGAGCAGTTTTCCCCTCTCCACTTACACTGACTCACAAGCACATCAAGGTCCACACTATGTAAGGGTTGAGACGAATGGTATTAACTCACTTGGGGGAAGATTCCTGCGGGATTTGGGACATAAACCACAGGACTTCTTACACTTGAGGGCCATGTAGTTACTGTTTGATGTACACTCCCCCTTCTTACTCCACAGGGAACAATACTTCTCCTGGTCCCTGCATCCTAAAACTGTGACGTAATATTGGTTAGGTTAGGTTAGGTGATGATGGTGAAGTGAGGGGAGGGGGAGGGTATACTGGTTGGTGGTGATGGTGAAGATAGTGGGAGGGGAGGGGGAGGGTATGCTGGTTGGTGGTGATGGTGAAAGACATGGCATTTAGTGGTAGTGATGGTGAAGGAAGTACTTGATAGTGGTGATAGTGATGATGAACTACATGATGGTGCTGATAGTGATGATGAAGTACATGGTGGTGAGAGTGATGATGAACTACATGATGGTGGTGATAGTGATGATAAATGACATATAATTAAATTTATTGTTTGGGGCTTTAAAAGACTGTTATAGATTTACCATCATTCTGCTTTGCCTTGCGACACGAGAGGCAGCATGACACCTCCATGAAGACAGGATTCTTTTTGCATTCCCCCAGCAACGCCCATTCATCACAGTACCCGTTGGTGTCATCACAAAACTCTGCAAGATGACAGTGATGATGGTCAGAATACGTTGAATAAATTATGAGCTTTAGTGATGATGGTCAATTTGTTGTATATAAAAACACATTTTGTACAAACATACAGTCCATATATCATCTGGCTTACTGGATGGGCTTGTGGAGACACCAACTGGGGTCCCTTTACAGTACATCGCATTAATTTTCTTCTTGTCAGACTGTAAGAAAAACAAAACAATGTAAATATTCCTAGCTTACCGACAAAACTCACGCACACACACACGGTACATCATCAAGGTTAGTGTATGGGCAATAGTTGAGTAAATAAAAGATTATAGTCAATTCACAAAACAAAAGCACAGTTCGAGATTCATAGATGTTGTGTTTGTGTCTTTTCTTTGAACTTTTATCTAATGGGAAAAAGACGGACATTAAACGCGACAGGTCCCACTGTGGGGTGAGGAGTCTTGTTCTCTATCTCTCTCACACCACCCATCGTTTGGTTAGTTTGTAAACTACCATCACCTTGGGTCAATTAATTCTTCAGTTCCAGCCCAACAGCTCAGTTTCATCCAATAGTGAGGGGAAAGGTAGTGAGTCCCCGACCAAACACTCATTGTTATGCTGGCTTTAGGGAGTCACGTATTCTGAAGCCAGTTAGATATAGGGAGGAATGAGTGTGTGTAAAGAAGACTAGACCTACAAGGAAAATAAATACACTAAAACACGAGGAAAAAACAATAGAGATCATAATATATACAATTCCATATACACCAAAGAAGTGCACACATAGATTATTCTTAAGTACTGTACAGCCTTACTAAATGTTTAAAGTGACTTATCAATATTTCATTCTCTCATTAGAATCATTGTTCGATTACTACCATCTGTCTCAAGTACATACTATGTTTCATGAGCACCAAACATTAATACAACTGTTTTGACACAACTTTTCGTCATCTACTTCCTTTCAATAGTATCATGTAATATACGAGTTGTATATCAGTATGGTAACAACAGGATCCACAGCTGCGTCCACTACTGTTTGATGATATTTTGAAAGAATTTGTATCCAGTTCCAACTGACTATAATATCTTAGTCATTATTAGCAAGATTGTAAACAAAAAAGTTTCCCTTACGTTTGATAAATCTTCTCTCTGGCCCATTTCGACACCCTTCTGATTCCGCCTCGGCTCGATGGTGTTGTTGCCGTCCTTACTGAAGGCGGTATAACCGTAATGCATAATGGACCCTGAGAAAAGAAGAGAACGAAAAGATTAACGTTTAACATAAGGGTCTAGTGAGATGACAATGTCCACTGTTCATAAGTCAGGGACACTATCCACTGGGCCAGCGACAGGAAGTGGAGAACAGTCACCGAAAAAGCCTAACACCAGCAGGAGACTTTTAACGAAGGACCTGTGATGAAGAAGGCATGGCAGGTGGAGATAGAAGAGGGTTTACCGCTATGTAATACAATATCAATTTACCACGGGCTCAGCTGATAACCTTAACGACACCTGTAGCAAAAGTTCCTCTTAAATATTCCCTAATTTTGTTTGTCACTGAAGAAGGGAAAACGTACTGGAGAAAGGGGGAAAATATTAGTTATGATTATATGCGCAACCACTTTAGAAAAACAGGAAGACTATTAGATAGACTACAAATAAACAATTAATATCAAAACGGGAAGACTTACCAACATCATATGAAATACCGAAGCTTTTAACTTTCTCCCACGTGTAGGCATGAAAATTGTACTCCATGTTTGGCTTAATGTTGGCCCACTTGATGGAGATGTGTTTATCACGGTCTGGTCGGGAATGTTCATGCCAGAAGCCGACAGCGTGCATTATCTCGTGCATAACAATCCCAACATAACCACATCCCATCCCGATGGATATTGCTTGACCTCCGCCCACGCGCCCCACAGAGCTCGAACACCTATGGAAAGATCAGGACAAATACCCATGATCACTAATATAAAATGTTCATCCACTTAAAAGGTAACTTACGAGGTCTTGTGACACACGTGACAGTCTATGTACAGGACCTGCTGACCCCATCACCACCAACAACTTTATCAGTACAAACACATGTCTGAGGAGCTTATTACAACTACTGTATGAAGTTGTCCACACTAGAACTATGAGGTTGTCCACACTAGAACTATGAGGTTGTCCACACTAGAACTATGAGGTTGTCCACACTAGAACTATGAGGTTGTCCACACTAGAACTATGAGGTTGTCCACACTAGAACTATGAGGTTGTCCACACTAGAACTATGAGGTTGTCCACACTAGAACTATGAGGTTGTCCACACACTAGAACCTATGAGGGTTGTCACACACACCTAGACTATGGGTTGTCCACACTGGGAACACAAGTTGTCACACTAGAACTGTGAGTTGTCACACCTAGAACTATGGGGTTGTCACACTAGAACTATGAGGGTTTGTCACACCTAGAACTATGAGGTTGTCTGCCTAGGTCTGTGGGTTGTCCACACTAAATTTATGAGGGTTGTCACACTAGAACTATGGGGTTGTCCACACCTAAATTTATAGGGTTGTCACACTAGAACTATGAGGTTGTGCACTAGAACTGGGGTTGTTACACACCTGGAGACATGAGGTTGTTCACTAGAACTGTGAGGGTTGTCCACACTAGAACTATGGGGTTGTCACACACTAGAACTATGAGGTTGCCCACACTAGAACTATGAAGTTCTCCACACCAGAACTATGAGGTTGTCCACACTAGAACTATGAAGTTGTCCACACTAGAACTATTAGGTTGTCCACACTAGAACTATTAGGTTGTCCACACTAGAACTATGAAGTTCTCCACACTAGAACTATGAGGTTGTCCACACTAGAACTATGAGGTTGTCCACACTAGAACTATGAGGTTGTCCACACTAGAACTATGAGGTTGTCCACACTAGAACTATGAGGTTGTCCACACTAGAACTATGAGGTTGTCCACACTAGAACTATGAGGTTGTCCACACTAGAACTATGAGGTTGTCCACACTAGAACTATGAGGTTGTCCACACTAGAACTATGAGGTTGTCCACACTAGAACTATGAGGTTGTCCACACTAGAACTATGAGGTTGTCCACACTAGAACTATGAGGTTGTCCACACACTAGAACTATGAGGTTTGTCCACACACTAGAACTATGAGGTTGTCCACACACTAGAACTATGAGGTTGTCCACACTAGAACTATGAGGTTGTCCACACTAGAACTATGAGGTTGTCCACACACTAGAACTGTAGAGGTTGTCCACACACTAGAACTATGAGGTTGTCACACTAGAACTATGAGGTTGTGTTACACTAGAACTTTATGAGGGTTGTCCACACTAGAACTATGAGGTTGTCCACACTAGAACTGGGGTTGACCACACTAGAACTATGAGGTTGTCCACACTAGAACTATGAGGTTGTCCACACACTAGAACTATGAGGGTTGTCCACACTAGGAGCTATGAGGTTGTCCACACTAGAACTATGAGGTTGTCACACACTAGAACTATGAGGTTGTCCACACTAGAACTGTAGAGGTTGTCACACTAGAACATGAGGTTGTCCACACTAGAACTATGAGGTTGTCCACACTAGAACTATGAGGTTGTCCACACTGAGAACTATGAGGTTGTCCACACTAGAACTATGAGGTTGTCCACACTAGAACTATGAGGTTGTCCACACCTAGAACTATGAGGTTGTCCACACTAGAACTATGAGGTTGTCACACTAGAACTATGGTTGTCCACACTAGAGACTATGAGGTTGTCCACACACTAGAACTATGAGGTTGTCCACACTAGAACTATAGGGTTGTCACACACTAGAACTATGAGGTTGTCCACACTAGAACTATGAGGTTGTCCACACTAGAACTATGAGGTTGTCCACACTAGAACTATGAGGTTGTCCACACACACTAGAACTGAGGTTGTCCACACTAGAACTATGAGGTTGTCCACACTAGAACTATGAGGTTGTCCACACTAGAACTATGAGGTTGTCCACACTAGAACTATGAAGTTGTCCACACTAGAACTATGAGGTTGTCACACTAGAACTATAGGGTTGTCACACTAGAACTATAGAGGTTGTCACACTAGAACTATAGAGTTGTCCACACACTAGAACTATGAGGTTGTCCACACTAGAGACTATGAAGTTGTCCACACTAGAACTATGAGGGTTGTCCACACACACTAGAACTATGAGGTTGTCCACACTAGAACTATGAAGTTGTCCACACTAGAACTATGAGGTTGTCCACACTAGAACTATGAGGTTGTCCACACTAGAACTATGAGGTTGTCCACACTAGAACTATGAGGTTGTCCACACTAGAACTATGAGGTTGTCCACACTAGAACTATGAGGTTGTCCACACTAGAACTATGAGGTTGTCCACACTAGAACTATGAGGTTGTCCACACTAGAACTATGATGTTGTCCACACTAGAACTATGAGGTTGTCCACACTAGAACTATAGGGTTGTCACACTAGAACTATAGAGGTTGTCACACTAGAACTATAGAGTTGTCCACACACTAGAACTATGAGGTTGTCCACACTAGAGACTATGAAGTTGTCCACACTAGAACTATGAGGGTTGTCCACACACACTAGAACTATGAGGTTGTCCACTGGGAACTATGAGGTTGTCCACACTAGAACTATGAGTTGTCCACACTAGAACTATGAGGTTGTCCACACTAGAACTATGAGGTTGTCACACTAGAACTATGAAGTTGTCCACACTTGCTAGAACTATGAGGTTGTCCACACTAGAACTATGAAGTTCTCCACACTAGAACTATGGGGTTGTCCACACTAGAACTATGAGGGTTGTCCACACACTAGAACTATGAGTTGTCCACACTAGAATTATGAGTTGTCCACACTAGAACTATAGGGTTGTCCACACACTAGAACTATGAGGTTGTCCACACTAGAACTATGAAGTTCTCCACACTAGAACTATGAGGTTGTCCACACTAGAACTATGAAGTTCTCCACACTAGAACTATGAGGTTGTCCACACTAGAACTATGAGGTTGTCCACACTAGAACTATTAGGTTGTCCACACTAGAACTATGAAGTTCTCCACACTAGAACTATGAGGTTGTCCACACTAGAACTATGAGGTTGCCCACACTAGAACTATTAGGTTGTCCACACTAGAACTATGAGGTTGCCCACACTAGAACTATTAGGTTGTCCACACTAGAACTATGAAGTTCTCCACACTAGAACTATGAGGTTGTCCACACTAGAACTATGAGGTTGTCCACACTAGAACTATGAGGTTGCCACACTAGAACTATTAGGTTGTCCACACTAGAACTATGAAGTTCTCCACACTAGAACTATGAGGTTGTCCACACTAGAACTATGAGGTTGCCCACACTAGAACTATTAGGTTGTCCACACTAGAACTATGAGGTTGCCCACACTAGAACTATTAGGTTGTCCACACTAGAACTATGAAGTTCTCCACACTAGAACTATGAGGTTGTCCACACTAGAACTATTAGGTTGTCCACACTAGAACTATGAAGTTGTCCACACTAGAACTATGAGGTTGTCCACACTAGAATTATGAGGTTGTCCACACTAGAACTATGAGGTTCTCCACACCAGAACTATGAGGTTGTCCACACTAGAACTATGAAGTTGTCCACACTAGAACTATGAGGTTGTCCACACTAGAATTATGAGGTTGTCCACACTAGAACTATGAGGTTGTCCACACTAGAACTATGAGGTTGCCCACACTAGAACTATGAAGTTCTCCACACTAGAACTATGAGGTTGTCCACACTAGAACTATGAGGCTTTTCACACTAGAACTAAAGAATTTTCCACATTGGGACTGTGGGGGTTCTCTCCATCCTAGAGTAAGGACATCGACTCTCTCTAAAATAGGTTACCACCACCACCACCATCATCACCTACCCGTCACCCTTGATAAAATGGACGTAGTCAGTCTCACTGGTCCTTGCCACAAACCGGATACAGGTGAGCTGTTGGAAATTCTTTATGGCAGTAGCGATGGTGGCCCGCCCTAATTTATCTGGGGAAGGTCAGCATGGATTACTCACTCGCAATGCTCTACACTACAGGTAACTTATGATAAGATAATTATATATACTACTGCAGGTATATAAAATATATATATTCTAATGTATACTGTACACTCATTATCTATGTACAGGCTGTACATGATGAAATGTATACCTGCATTGTCCATATTTATGATGAACTGTGTACCTGTAATGTCAGGTTAGATTTGGTTAGGTTGCTTAATTTTCAGGTGAAATAAGCTGAGGAGGCGGGGAAGTGGGAGAGGGAGAGGGAGAAGAAGGGGAGGGGAGGGCGAAAAGGAGGTAGAGGGAGAAAAGGGGGGAGAGGGAGAAAAGGGGGAGAGGGAGAGGGGAGAGGGAGAGGGAGGGGATGGGGTCATCACGAGCATTACTAACAAAAACTATATATATATATATATATATATATATATATATATATATATATATATATATATATATATATATATATATATATATATATATATATATATATAAAAGTAAATCACTGTAGGTGCGCGTGATCTAGGTATATGCTGATAACCACAAGGAAAGAAGAAAACACGAACTTCGTGTTTCTTTCTTTCATCAGCCTATATATATATATATATATATATATATATATATATATATATATATATATATATATATATATATATATATATATATATATATATATATATATATATATATATATATATATATATATATAATGGACATTTTTCCATCTTACCAAAGGAGTTGGAGATGACGTAGGGGATACGTGCGTTGGGCCACCGTTTGTGCTGGTCAGCTATACCGCTTCTCTGAGTAACACAGAAACATAGTCTTATCTGTTTTATGGTGACAAGCAGTGTGCCTATTATAGAAATGGCAAATAAATATACAACAAAACACAAACATTATCAACTACAATTTGTCGCTCTCATATCGGAATCACACCCATGATGTTAATGAAACTAATACAACTCTTGTATTTTTCTTAGGCCTGTGAGCACCTGACGCATGTACCTGAAAAATGGCGGCTACTGAATTAAAGCCCCGGAAATTAAATTTCTATCCAATTTGTTTTTTATTGTTGTCCTGAATTAGTCGTGTAATCATCACAAACTGTAAAATTCCACGTAAATAATTTTTTTCCGGGATATGTTGCGGAGCCAGGACTAATATGGACCTGTACTATACCTGTCTCGGTCCTCCCAGTAGTATACTGGCTAGGTCAGATTCGGACGCTAGTTGGATGTCACCCTCGAACAGCCCCGCCATGAAGATAGGGTCGAATGCGCTGTGGGAGGCTATGGCGTCACCTGTAGTGGAACAAGAACAGACGTCAGGGCCCCGAGGAGGAGGCTGAGGTTAAGTTTTGAGTGTCCAGGAGAGAGGAATGTCCACAGGGAATCGTGATGAGGACTTATTAATCTGAGACCATGAACTAAAAATAGACCAGAAGGGGGACTTAATTATCTGAGAGAGACTCACTCATGGGAAGCTCGTAGTTAAAGTCCTCCTCATCCAATGGCTCTGCAAGGGTGTCTGTCTTCATCTGCAAATAAATAAATAAATAATCCACAAACATGTCATAACTTACGGTGGTGGGGTGGGGGAGGGTTGTTGGAGGGGTGCGGTGGTGGCGTGTTGGAGGGTGTTAGAGAGGTGGCAGTTGGGGGAAGGGTCTTAGGGGGGTGGAGGGTGAAGGGAGAGGTAGGGAAAAAGGATCATAACCCCAACACAACATCGCCGGAGTAAGCAATCAACAGTGCTTGGCGTTCCCATTTAACCCACACTAGCATTTATTTTTATAAACATAGCAAGAACACCTGTATTATTTAGTTCACGGAATATTTACCCACTCACCTAACCATCCATTTATCCACCCACTTAACCCTCCACGCATCCATCCATCCACTCAACAATCTACCCTTCCATCCATCCACTCAACCACTTATCTACCCATCCATCCATCCACTTACTGACTCAGGATTGCCCAAGGGTATGTCAGGCAATTTGGACGAGTCCATTATGGGTCTGTTCATGTTGGAGGGTATGTCGTTGGGGTCTGAGGACCTCTGAGCACCGCCCACGCACGCCCACACCGCCAACACCACACCAAGGTACGCCCGCATGGCACTGCTTCACGCTGGAGTGGGGACGGCCGATGCTGCCTGCGACATGAATAGTGATTAATAATGTCGCTTGGTTTTTAGTAATAATAGAAGTAATAATAATAATAATAGAATATTAAATAGATATATTATCATAATTATTATTATTGTTATCCTGACTTACCTGTATACATAAATCCTAAGTTGTTGTCTGTCTGTCTGTTTATTTTTATTTTTTATTTATTTTTATTATTTATTGGGCACTCCCCTACATCCTTGTGTAAGGTGAAGCGCAGAAGCGTTTACAGCGCCCAACGGGGAAGCATGCTAAGTTCATGCTTGCCTTTATGTCTCATGAGTTAAGGGCGTAGAAGCCTGAAGAGTCAGTGGTTTTATGTCATGAAGTTATTGGAAGCTCCAACAACTTGTCCCTGAATACGCATTCGCAACTTTCGACTTACACCAGGTACCAACTGTGCTGCTAGGTGAACAGGGACTAATGGGGGCAAGGAAGTAAGTCCAAACAACTTCCACCGGTCCGGGAATCGAACCCGTGACATCTCGCTTGCGAGGCAAGAACGGTACCGCTTCTACCACCGATCCCCCTGGCTGTTTATTGTAACCAGTGTAACTCTGCGCTGGTCAAAGGTCAGTCTAATGTAGTGAGTTGAGTTACAATTATAGGTGTAGTGTTGAAGGTCTTATTACTTAAGTGACCAAAACTTCTCCTTCACACACACACTGTCATGTCACCAACACTGTCCTGACATTTACACACATGTCACTGTAAGACTCTTGGATCCGCCGTTGCCATGGAAACATAATGAGCCACAACTCAAAATACTTAAGACAAACACTGGTGGCTGATCTGCTCCAGGGCCCTGTTGGGTTACACATACACCGGTCAAGTTACATCAGGTGCATTTACTCGTTGTTTACGGTACATCTCACACACACACACACACACACACTTGGTATTTACGTATCTGCCTCTCCAAAATAATTCTTAACATTGTTCAAAAGATGACCATTTTTTTAGAGGATGGGTCAGTAGGTAGTAGGCAGCTATCAAACAGGGAGGTACTACCGCCTGGGAAGATATTGGAAGCATAATGTATTGTCTAATGGTAGACCCTGCTGTCATATGGCATCACGAAAATTGTGACCAAGTCCCAGGTTGCTGATCTATCTTTCTGCCTCATTTACACACAATTGCAGGGTCTCAACTGTTTCTCTTATTATTGACAACACAACATACATAATTATAATGTTTCCCACTTTTGATCCTTTTTTTTCAGTTTTGTATTTATTTATGGCCCTTTATTATTATTTTATTTTTGTAATTTTAATTTTTATTTATTATTTTTTGCCGCCCCCGATGTGCCTGGGTGGGCTAATCCAGTAAAAAAGAGAAAAAGTGTCTTTTCTTCAGCTATACGAAAATTCTACACAGTGTCATTCCTCGGAGGCGTAGAGCGAGGATGGTAAGTTTCTAGTGAATCCATTGTCTCGTTTATGAGTAACACAGCATCATGGTGAGGTGAGTTGAGGTGGTTTATTTCCACACCTTTCGGAGGGGTCGATGGGCTCATCAAAGGGTTAAAGCCTTCCCCTCTCTCATTATCTTTTCTCTCTCGTTTCCTTTATCTCACATTCTTCCTCATTATTTCCCTATTTCGCATTCTCTTATGTCTATCTCTCCTTCTTTCTTACTATCACTCAAATTCATTCTCTATCTTGGTAAGCCTTCCCTCTTTTTCAAAACATACTTCTCTCTTTTCCACAATCTCAAATGATTTCTCTATCTTATAATCTTCAATCTCTCTCACTTCCTTTTCCCATTTTTGTTTTCTCTCGTCTTACCTGAGGTACACACGAGTCAAACGTAATTAACCCAGGTAAGAGGAGGGTCGTGGGGAGATGTTGACAGCACGGAGGCCGAGGTCGGTGTGTTGTGCAGGGGGTTCCAGGAGGGGGTTTATATGCTCAGAGGGCGCCAGCATGTTTCCCTCCCTCTCCCTCCCCACCCCCAACACACATAGCCAAGCACGATTATTAATTGGTTGGATTTGCATTATAGAGTTCAAGCATTGTGTGCCGGAGAGAGAGAGAGAGAGAGAGAGAGAGAGAGAGAGAGAGAGAGAGAGAGAGGTGACTCATTACCCCAGACAAGACGCAGACCACAGTAGTAACACCTCGATCACTCCCCCAACAAGTACAGCGACCTTGTTAAACAGAGTTCGTCACACCTCCTTCCCCTCGGCCACGCCTCCGTCTCTTATCATGGGCGTGGCCACTGACAGAGAGACATGATTTAATAGGTACTCCGAGAACTTCCGTTGAATACTCTTTTGAGAACGTAAGTCGAAGAGTCTTATCGAACTTCAGTCGAACACCCTCAGAGAACATCAGTCGAACAGCATCAGAGAACGTCAATTGTACAGCCTCAGAGAACATCAATCGTACAGCCTCAGAGAACATCAATCGTACAGCCTCAGAGAACATCAATCGTACAGCCTCAGAGAACATCAATCGTACAGCCTCAAAGAACATCAATCGTACAGCCTCAGAGAACATCAATCGTACAGCCTCAGAGAACATCAATCGTACAGCCTCAGAGAACATCAATCGTACAGCCTCAGAGAACATCAATCGTACAGCCTCAGAGAACATCAATCGTACAGCCTCAGAGAACATCAATCGTACAGCCTCAGAGAACATCAATCGTACAGCCTCAGAGAACATCAATCGTACAGCCTCAGAACATCAATCGTACAGCCTCAGAGAACATCAATCGTACAGCCTCAGAGAACATCAATCGTACAGCCTCAGAGAACATCAATCGTACACAGCCTCAGAGAACATCAATCGTACATCCTCCAAGAACATCAATCGTACAGCCTCAGAGAACATCAATCGTACAGCCTCAGAGAACATCAATCGTACAGAACATCAGAGAACATCAATCGTACAGCCTCAGAGAACATCAATCGTAGCCTCAGAGCCTCAGAGAACATCAATCGCCCAGAGAACATCACAGCCTCAGAGAACATCAATCGTACAGCCTCAGAGAACATCAATCGTACAGCCAGAGAACATCAATCGTACAGCCTCAGAGAACATCAATCCAGAGAACATCAACAGCCTCAAAGAACATCAATCGTACAGCCTCCAGAGAACATCAATCGTACAGAACCTCAAAGAACATCAATCGTACCTCAAGAGAACATCAATCCAGCCTCAGAGAACATCAATCGTGCGTACAGCAACCTCAGAGAACATCAATCGTACAGCCTCAGAGAACATCAATCGTACAGCCTCAGAGAACATCAATCTTAGAGAACATCAATACAGCCTCAGAGAACATCAATCGTACAGTACAGCCTCAGAGAACATCAATCGTACAGCCTCAGAGAACATCAATCGTACAGCCTCAGAAGACATCAATCATTACAGAGAACATCAATCGTACAGCCTCAGAGAACATCAATCGTACAGCCTCAGAGAACATCAATCGTACAGCATCAATCTCAGAAAACATCAATCGTACAGCCTCAGAGAACATCAATCGTACAGCCTCAGAGAACATCAATCGTACACCTCAAAGAACATCAAGGCACAGCCCCTCAGAGAACATCAATCGTACAGCCTCAGAGAACATCAATCACATCTAGAACACTAACAGCCTTAGAGAACATCAATCGTACAGCCTCAGAGAACATCAATCGTAAGCCTATCAATAGCCTCAGAGAACATCAATCGTACAGCCTCAGAGAACATCAATCGCCTTAGAGAACATCAATCGTACAGCCTCCAGAGAACATCAATCGTACAGCCCCAGAGAGCATCAATCGTACAGCCTCAGAGAGAACATCAATCGCTGTACTCACAGAACATCGATAATCAGAGAACACGTGCAGCCTCAATCGTACAGCCTCAGAGAACATCAATCGAACCATCAATCAGCCCCAGAGAACATCAATCGTACAGCCTCAGAGAACATCAATCGTACAGCCTCAGAGAACAGAGAACATCAATCGTACAGAGCCTCAGGAGAACATCAATCGTACAGTACGCAATAGAGAACATCAATCGTACAGCCTCCAGAGAACATCAATCGTACGGTCTCAGAGCATCAATCTATTGCAGCCTCCAGAGAACATCAATCGTGCAGCCTCAGAGAACATCAATCGTACAGAACATCAATCAGAGAACATCAATCCAGAACATCAATCGTACAGCCTCAGAGAACATCAATCGTGCATCCTCAGAGAACATCAATCGCACAGCCTCAGAGAACATCAATCGCAAGGCCTTAGAGAACACTTAATCGTACAGCCTCAGAGAAACATCCTGTACAGCCTTAGAGAACATCAATCGTACAGCCTCAGAGAACATCAATCGTACACCTCAGAGAACAATCAATCGTACAAGCCTTAGAGAACATCAATCGCTGGCCTCAAGAGAACTCAATCGTCAGCCTCAGAGAACATCAATCACAACCTCTCAGAAGTCAATGCAGCCTCAGAGAACATCAATCGTACAGCCTCAGAGAGAACATCAATCAATCAGCCTCAGAGAACATCAATCGTACGGCCTCCAGAGAACGCATCAATCTACAGTCTCAGAGAACATCAATCGTACAGCAGCTCAGAAGAACATCAATCACAGCCAGAGAACATCAATCGTACAGCCTCAGAGAACATCAATCGTACAGCCTCAGAGAACATCAATCGTGCACCTCAGAGAACATCAATCGTACAGCCTCAGAGAACATCAATCGTACAGCCTCAGAGAACATCAATCGTACAGCCTCAGAGAACATCAATCGTACAGCCTCAGAGAACATCAATCGTACAGCCTCAGAGAACATCAATCGTACAGCCTCAGAGAACATCAGTTGGGGAACATTTGAGAAGGTCAGCCTTGTTGTGGATGGCTGGTCCCGTCCACTAACACGGGACCTCAGCTACACATGGGGACAACACGGCCAGTACTTCTCCCTACCTTCTATCACGTCCCCGACCTTAATATCAAGGACGCCCACTCTGATGTTTGGTCGACTGGGGACCCACCTACTCACAGGATGGCCGAGGGACTTAACCACCAACCGTTGAGTCAGGGAATATGTGAGCTGTATCCCTGCCATTCCATCAGGACTATGGGACATATTTCACAATCATATATTTTATTATTCGCTTCGGTATCATTATCCGGCGTTTTATATACACTTTATATATCTTTCAATAGCTGTGAAATAATATCCAGTTCTTGTACTGCCAGATGTCTGATAAAAGAAAAAATTAATTACCACAGCCACACATGAGAATTAATACCTTGTTCCCAGTAACCCGTCCTTGGTGAATATATTCTCATTTATGATTAAATTACAAACAATAATACATGAAAGTGGTGCTGAATATACAAATATGGCAGCCAATCAGAAGCCCGCATACATGACTAGACCCCCTCCCCCACAAGAATGCCCCCCCCCCTAGACATACTGTATACATAAACAGTGACCCAGGAAGTAGGTCATCGGTGTAGACTTCCGGCCTGAACATCCAAGACACCTACGTTATTTCCTTCCCTCTATAATTCGTGATCAGAGAACTCACCCAGTGGGCGGTACAGCCTTAGTGATGTTTCGATGCACACTTGAACTAACTTCGATTTGTCGGAGTTAAGTGAATTAGTAAGAGGCGTCCTCACGTGAGCAGCGAGGAAGAACACATACGGGTGTGTGAGACTCAGGACCCACCACTGGGGTTTTCATGAGAATCTAAAGTAGAAAAGGATCACATGAAGACTAGCCCCCCCCCCTCAGATAATTTAATCTGATGATTAAACACCTGAACAATATCTGGGAGGGATGGTTAGTCTAAGCTAACGCTAGGGTGATCAATCTTAAGGTGACATAAGCTGGGGGCTAATCTTCAGATGATAGCTACGTAGATATTTTCATTATATGTTGTTCAGGGTCTTATTTACGTTGGGATGTTGGGTGCTTCGGGGGAGCGCATAAAACTTTCACTTCCTGTTAATGGATACCTAAGTTTACGGATGGGTAAGTGAAGGCGGCCATGTGAAGTGCTGGCCACATTACGTGTCCCGAAAACAAGGCTGAGTCAGGCCGACGGGACCCACTTTACTCTGCTCAGGATATCCCTCAGTGATAATTTTCCAAATGCCTGTATATGTGTATCTACACATATAAACGACTGCATATGTATACAAGTTTGTCTATACAAGAGCATGTATATGTTATGCGCAATATTAAAAATTACCTAATATCAACATTAGGCAATTTCCACATTACGCACAACCTTACATATTTTCTTCGTGCATAGATGTACACTTATAATGCAATGTGTAATAACTAGTTGCTTACTTTTACCCTTATTTGTATACATTATATAAGATCCATTGCCTGTCTGTCAGTCTCTGTTTTCCTTATGTATTTCCTCAGTTTTAAAGATAAAACTGAAATTTGGTAAGGAGGTGCGGGTGGCTCAAGGGATGGTTGTGCACTGCCTACTGTCCCTCCGTCTGTGACGCCCAGCATTGCACAGTACAGCGGTTCACTACAGGTATGCTGGTACCATCCATATTCATATCCGGGTAGATCAAAGGTGTTTTAGCTGCAGTAAAATGCATGACCTGGCATCATGTTCACCACCATATTGCTTGTTGTCGATGCTGTGTGGTATGTTTCAGGGTGTGGTGTGGTATGTTGTAAGGTGTGGTGTTGTCTGCTGTAGGGTGTGGTGTGGTCTGCTGTAGGGTGTGATGTGGTCTGCTGCAGGGGGTGGTGTGGTCTGCTGTACGTGTTGTCTTCAAACAAACATCCGACCAGGTAAGATTCGTAGGTGGTGACACAATCTACGTATTTCAGTCGTTTCTGACCGTCATCCATAGCACTGCTGATCATAGCCAGAGGGTGAGTGACCCGCCGTGTGTCGGTGTAGGTTGTTGATCGCCAGTCACACAGTAGTCCTTCTGCAGGCGACCCTGAAGGAAGCCGAAGAACCATCTGGCGAGCGAGGGATAAAGTGAGAGGGAAGAGGGAATATTATACGTAAGATGAAAGGGGATGAGAGGGTACAAGAGAGGGAGTGAGAAAGATCAAACGAGAAAGAGAGCAGGTGAGGGAGGGAAAGGTGGAGGGGAATGCACTCCCTGCTGGCGCCACCATATAACCCCCACCCTCCCTCCTCCCCCCTTCGGCCACTCACCTTTCCTCCCTCACTAGTCTCGCCCCACTCCATATGTCGAGTAACGACCCGCCCCTCCCCTTTCTGCCCAGCAACAACTCACCCCGCCCCTCTGTGCCTAGCAACGACCAGCCCTTACTCTACGCGACAAGCCCCGCCTTGACTCAATCTGACCAACTCTACACTGATCTGACCCGACCCTCCCTCCCATCATAGCTCGGCTCGATCCAAGGAGGTTTAATATCCTGTATTAAACCTCCTTGGCTCGATCCTCCCTAATTCCACCATGTCAATGCTCGACTCACAATGGCACAGCTGAGTACAAATAAACTATTGTATGACGGGCAAACAAACGCCTGTCAAGCTGGGCTTCGGGGTATGTGGCCGTCTAACACCAGGAACAGAAAACATGAAAATAATAAAACTCATTTATGTCCATGAATAAGAAACTCATATTAGTTAATACCGATCAACTGAAGTTTAGACACCCCAGCTTATTTTACCTGCTGATTAAACACCCTAACGCTAACCTATTCTAAATCCCCAAGGTAGCGTTAGGGTGCTTATTAGTCAGGTGAAATTAGTTAAGGGGGCTAATGTTCAGGTGATACATTTTACATCATTTTTTAAACTCACGCAGATAGAAATTCTTTGTCAACAAGTATACACGTCGTTTACTTGTTTCACGGATGAATAAAATACAGCCACACATAATCCCTTACACACAGGATTTGCGTAATCTATCGCAGTTAACTTCATTAAATCGACAGATAACGTCACGCACACTTGTTATCTGTTTACTGCTGCGCTAATCTCGTGTGATATCAACCATCTATCCGCAGAAGCTCTCGACCTCTGTGCTGTACTTCTGCGTCTCTGTGGGATATCCTTAGCAGGTTAACTCGACTAAGCATACTGTGTTAATCATCGTATTAATCCTCTTAAAATAACAATAGGCGAGAAATAAGAAGAAAACTATATATTATACTAATACAGTATAGTATACAGAAATTTGGCTTAAGCTGGATATACTTTTCACAGGTGTGCACAAAATATATTTCAGATCATTCATCTCTATCGTAATTACCCACTACTAAAGTAAACAGGCTTTTTTTTATCATATTCGCCACTTATCAGCTTACTAGCCGTTTGGGCGGTCGATCCAGTGTTAGTACAGGAGGAAACTGGGGACTGGGAAATGTGTGGTGTGGTGTTTCAGTATTTCAGTATTTCACTATCCCATTACCATACCAATTCACAGGCTCTGTAATTGGTGGTACTATCGAATCGTTATTAACTTGCTTTGGAATGGCGTCAACAAATATGGGATTTGGTGAAGATTCCACCTGAATAAAAGAGACTGACAACTCATCGGGGTACAGTATGCCTTAAGTATTATTTGTGAAGCACTTTTTACCACCAGTTTCGTGGTACATCTAAGTTAGGCATTGTATACCTAAACCCATGACCAGTCTCGGGTAAACAGGAATAATAAGCAGTCATCAGGAATACGAGACCGACAGCACGGATCATTGTGGACGAGGATATGTTTTTAGGTCAAGTCCAAGGGTCGTTCACTACACGTCACCTTCTATCTTTTTATTATCAGTCTCACGTTTACGGTCTGTCGTATCAGGTAGTGTTATTGGGTCTATCGGTTTTATCAGGTAGTGTTATCGGGTTTATCGATTTTATTTAACTCCACAGAGGTTCCATTACAAGTAAATACCAGATTTAACACGCATTCGTTGCCACGGCCAGCCGCTCACGTGTGTTCGTCGCTTACACTACACCTCTCATTAATCAGTGTAGTCGACTGCCAGGCGCATTATGTGGTGTTAGTGTATGGCTAAATACACTAGAAAATGTGATTTACTGTATAACAAAGTACACAACTAAAGGTGAGAATTAACATTCTGAAGACTGTGATATGAAGTGTAATTAAGAATTTCGGCTGTTTTAATATTGCGTCAGTTTACGAACAAGTTAGTAGTCAGAGAAGAGGTAAGAGGTGAGGGAATGATTAAAAAGTCAGTAAGGAAGAATCAATGTTTGAGGCGTAGTAACTTTTTATTTACTTCAAAGGGATATTTATGGCGAGGATTCTCCCTCCCGAAATTTTACGGCAGCATCAGTAGAGCGCTCTTTCTCAGCTGGGGAAGAGATTAACCAGAACAGGGAACAAGACTATTGTGAAGTATCGCCCGAGACAGAAAAATTTCGTCTTATAATTTTAGTAGTAATTAAGGAATTTAGTCCACTACATGCTAGCTTCTCCAGTATCTTACTCAAGGCTGGGAGGACTGATATGGGGCGGTAATTCTTGAAGAGACCTTTGTCCCCAGATTTTTTATATGCTGTGTGAACTTTAGCAATTTTCAGTTTATCCGGAAAGACACCACTAGTGAAGGAGTTACAAATGTTAGGAGAACAGGTAGTAATAAGTGGGCTATTTTCTTAATGATGCTCATTGGTATATTGTCTTCGCCTGCTGCTGCATCTTTGGACATTTCTATGATGGCCAGTAATTCACCGGCTGTGACCGGGATAATAACAGCTCAGTTTGCTGTCTGTTTTTCAGGTAGGCTCTAAATTCCTCATGGTGATCAGGGATGCTCTCTGCAAAATTTTTGCCAACATAAATAAAATATTCATTGAAGTGGTTGGCAATGAGGGAAGGTTCCGTTACAACTGAATCATTTATCATACAAGCTGAGTGGGAGTGTCTTCTTCAACATGTCTTACTTTTATCCACGAGAAACCTATAGAAATGAACGAGAAAACTATAGGATTCATATTATACGAAAATAAATGATTAATAATTTCGTTCAACCCTGTGTTAAACAATGGGTCTTTCTGAACACAAAATTTTCCCCCAACCTTTCATTTCTAAAGAATAATTTACCTGAAATGTTTCTGATTCAGCTCACGGACAAAGAAATATCAAGTTCACGTGAATTATACCCGAGGTGTCTTTCACTGACATCTGTCAATGAGTTCTGTATTTTCCAGAGTTTAAAGGTCAACCTGAGTCCAATTTTGTTAGTGTAACTGTTGATACCTTTCCTAACATGGATAAAACTTGTTTTTTTTTCTTTTAACTCACAGTTTTGGTGCAAAAGATAAAATTGAGAATGTAAATATGCAGTACTCATCATACAGGTACGGCAGCCGTATAATTATGTGAAACGTAGATGCCTATTATACCAACAGACAGCCTAATGCGCCTAATTTAACTTAACCAGACCTAACCTACCCTATAACGTAACCATTAAGAACACAGTCCGTCAATATGGCTGCAGTACCTATAATATAATTACTGGATATTATCCAGTGTGATTTTTTACCTACATCTAAAAAATTGCTGACCTTCAACGTATTCTGTGATAATTAAGTGCAGGTACAGGATAATTTAGAAACACTCATCCCTTAAGCTGGCGTGATTCTCAATGTTTGACACTAATCGTATCTGTACCCGACAAGTGATAGGCTGCCCATACAGGAAAAAAAATAAAAAAATAACTACCGAATAGTGGACCCAGATTCTCCAAGGTTCAAATTTAATACAACACGTGATAAATGTGATCCTAATTTCTCAGAAATTCGTGGTGGATACAGTACATTACTCCACTGTCCATTTCTTTTGGGCAGCAGTGACAGTGAGTGAAGGTGTTGGCCTCTCACCCTCACAAAAGCACGTAATCAGTCACCACTTAATTGTAAATATTGTATTAATGTTTCAAATTGAGATTATCCTATTTGTCTTAAGCTTAATTTCTTGTATATTTTCCATGACTCACTAAACTGTGACTTACCCAGTTTGTTTTCTGGTATGAATGATCGTAATTCTTTATCATATCTAAAGACAGATTGAGAATTACCCAGTCTGACTTTCAGTGCGACTTATTGTATCTTGTTGACATTTAAATTGGGACTCATGCAACTTGTCTTTCAGTATATATTAAATAACTTCTTAACTTTGTGTTTTATAAATTAATTACTTTCATTTATATTTTCCTAATCTAACCTAACCAACTTAACTTTACCTAACTCCCGCCATAAAAAGTTGTTAAACCATATTAAGTTGCTAACCAGCAAAAGAAACTTAACTTAATATTAAGGTGCGTCAGAGTGCAGCGATGGCATCCGACTGTTCTTTAACGCGGTCTTGATCCTCAACAAACACAGATAACTTGCTATAACTAATGGAAAATGACGCCATATTTTCGTACGAGGTTATAGGCTCCCGTCCCCTTCAGGCCGTTCAGGGAGATCTATAAAGTTAGGAAACAGTGAAGCCTATTAAATCGAAAACAAAAGACAAACCCATCAAACATTTACGGTTTTATAACCAGGGAGCTTGAATACGTTTATTCAATCTCCTAGTATTAAAACCTCCCGATGATATTCTCCAGCGTGTTTTACTTGTTAACAATATTGGAATCATATATTTATAGTTTCAGAGCAGACGAGAACAATGGACGCCACTTGAGAATGAACATAAGAACATAAGAAAATAAGGAGTCTGCAATAGGCCGGTTGGCCTGTGCATGGCAGCTCCTGTCGAGAGTTACTACCACTCTCTATTATCCATGAGTCTATCCAGCCTCCTTTTGAAACTTTCCAGCGTTCCAGCACTTACTACAAAGTTGCTAAGCTTGTTCCACTCGTCCACCACCCTATTTGTGAACCAGTTCCTTCCTATCTCCCTCCTAAGCCTAAACTTAGCCAACTTAAATCCGTTGCTCCGACTCCTATCCTGCTCGGATATTATAAGAACTTTACCTATATCCCCTTTATTGATTCCTGGCTGGTTGGTGTAGGTAGAAAGAGAGCGATCACCACGAGGTCAGGTCTTAAATAGCGGAGGTAGGCGTGGCTTAGTAGTTGACCTCCATCATGTAAGGCGGCGCTGGTTGACCCAGACCACGAGGCATACACTGGGGAATTCGCGGGGTCGGCTACTCAGCGACAAACAGCGTCTGTAGGGGAGAAATCCACTACACTTTCACCAAGGGTTCGAGCCTCGGCCCAACCACACGTGAGAAGGGTATTATCCAGTGTGACCCTACCAAACACCACAGGTTTCCCGGTCCCCAGTTTCCTCCTGTACTAACACTTGATAAACAGCTGATAAGTGGCGAATATGGTAAAAAAAAATATATATAAAAAAAATACACAAAAAGAAAACCCAGTCTCATTCCAAAGTAACCAACCAACCTACCAAACCTAATCTACAAGGAGGAGGAGGAAAGGAGGAGACAACTCACCTTAAGTGTGGAGTATAGCCTCAGGTAAAGGTGGCGGGAACCTGCGGACAGCCAATGGACGAATATTAACCCAGTTTTTTTTCCGTGTTTTACCCCCAACTTCCTTCTTCCATGCCCTGCCCAATGCATGTGATTTATGATCGAAGTTAGAGAAACACGAAATAAAATAAAATTGAAGGAATACGTTGTTGTATTTAAAAAAATAACCTTTATATAAACTTTTGATAATCGTTTCCTTCACTTTTATCTTATTTTTTCGCGTAACGCTGATCACGACATTGTGAGATGTATATCAGAATTAGAATTATCATTAGTGGTAAATTCATGTTGAGAAGATGTAAGAATGTATTACACCTCAATTCAAAGATAAATAAACTTAAGACTTTTGGCCTGTACACAAGCTCTTGCGTTAAAGAGTCGGGGTACTCGGCTTTACAAGCTTTTCTATGTGCTCATCAGTTTACAGCGGGTGAAATACAAATTGCTTACCTCCCGTATCCTCGCCATGTTTACTGTGAACTGTGATGCACTTGTCGTTTATCGGGGAAGGAGATACAATAGTTTGGTGCGTCACTTGTACTGTAGTTAAGCAAGGCGAGGAAGACGACGCGTTCACCAGCGGGGAAATATTTTATCTAATAATTGATGTAGATTATAAATTCAATTTTATTTAATAGTAAAATTTCTTATTTTATTTATGATTTAAGATACATATGAAATAAAAATATGTATTTATCATTAATTTTATTTAATACGAATGGTGTCTGTTTACTCTTGTCATGGGTTAAAGGGAAGGAGGCCGAGCTGACCAGAGTGTGAGTTGAAGGATCTGTTTCTCACCTGAGGGAGAGTTAATGCTACTCGGTGAAGTAAAAAGAATATAAAATGATTTGTGATGGCTGTTTTGGGAAAGTAATTTAAGAAATTAAGGCCAATAACATTTACAGTATGTTGCACCACTTTGGGTGAGGCTCAGCATAATAAAATAATAGTAATAATAATAATTATAATATTAATTCAGTAAAAATGTCTGTAAATATTTGGCGGATAGTTTTGGTCTCATTTTGCTCAATATTTGATGCGTAATGCAATGGAGAGTCTTGGTAAATATTCGTCCAGTGGCTGTCCTCAGGTTTTTGTACGAGAATAGTTTTGGGGGTAATTTTTCACTTCTGCACCTGTTTTTGTTTGGATATTAAAAATATGTTTTTGCTATGATATTTGGTGAGTTTCAAGCGAATTTGATATTCATTTCCGCCGGAAATAACTAGTTTTTGCCCCCAACAATAATGGGGGGAGAGCCTGATAAATCGGGGTTTTTGGGTGGAGGAGAAAACGAATCATCTAATCTAACAAAACCTAACCTAACCCCCTAGCCGGGGGGGCTCCATCCCCAGTAGGCCTAGCTTAAACTAACCTAAATGTTTCAGTACTTAAAAACTTTGGGGCATGTCATGTCCAAAAGCACAATACCTTAGTTAGAAGTGGAAGGACCAGGGATACGTTAGAATTTGATAGACTAATCCTCTTTCTCGTAAAACTCGGCAATAAACTTAAAATAGTCGTAGGAGCACAAATGACAACCAACCTTCGCCACGGCCATTGTGAGACTGGTCAACGAAATTACCCAGGCTGCTTCCTTTGAAAAATAATCAAATATGATTGGTCGAAAAAAATTCGCGTGATGATATCCATGCATCATTGGTCACGACTGGATGACGTCAATCAATATTGCCCATGCTTGAAATGCAGATAACATCTCCTCAAGGTAAATAAGACACGGCGACACTTGTGACTGAGCGCAATATCTCGGTTATCCTTAATATCCGGCTGAAATATCAAAGAAGAAAAAGGTCTTCGAATTTTCTAAACACATTAATAACAGCGAGAGAAAGACCAGTGCATAAAGAATAATTTACTGTTTTTTTGGTGTTTTATTAAATTTTTACCTTCATTTCATGTGTAAATTAGCTGATTTTGCATATATATATATATATATATATATATATATATATATATATATATATATATATATATATATATATATATATATATAATAGAAACAGCTAATTTGAACAAATATTGAGGTCAAATTCGAATAAAACACCAGAAAACACAAAAAACTATTATCATACCAAAGGAACCAACCTACCTAACCTACCTAACCTAACCTAACCTACTCTACTCTACCCTGCCCTACAAGGTTCTTGGGTTGCGAGGAGGAGACAAAGTGATTCTAAGTGAGGAGTATAGCCTCGGGTAAGCATAGCGGGAATAGAAATATACGCATAGAAATTTGTGAGTTACTCCATTAATATTGATTTGTACAATAAATGATATGAAGTCATATGGTTCTTTTTTTCTAGAACTTGTGTCTAATATTGAGAAGTGGAAAGCTGCGGATAGCCATTGAACGAAATTAACCAGTCTATTTTGTGGAAACGCTAAAAAAATGTTTTTTCAACTTCCAAGTTGAGAATCACAAAAAAAAGGTTACTACAACCGTTTTCAATTGAAAAGCAACAAATATTGAGGAAACTGAAACCAAAATTGTCTCCAATTCTGACCTGGAAGTGTAACTGTGAGGCTCCACTCCCCCAGACCCCCAATTTCTAACTTAACCCAAAATAACCTTACCAATCATAACTGTGACCTGACGTACAATCTAACTCTCCATACAAATCAATAACAAAATAAACACCCTGATCAACCTACCTAACCTAGATAATACACTTCCATCCTTGGGTTATTATGTTATGATGAATTGGTGTCCGGTTGTAATTCCTCCAGCCTTATTGATATTTGAGATATAAGAAACAAGTTTTTCTGTCTTAATATTTTCTTGAAAAGTGGCTCCTTCTAACAAGGTGAAGAGAAAGCCATAATAGAAATACAGGCAGAGTCATCTTCTAATATAGTTATTTACAGTAGTTTTTGCTCCAAGATAAGTGTTCAGTCCAAATAACTTTGGATATATTGTACTTTACCTTAAATTAATGATTTTAACTGTGTTGGGTGAAGTCTTGCATGTGAGGTTAAATTAAGTTCATTCATTTTGTGTATCTGAAAAGATCTACATGATAGTCCAGTTACTATTCCTTTTTTTTATTTTTTACCTACTTTTTCAATGAGGCATTAGATATGGTTATATGCAGTACTGTACTGTATAGAGAAACTGCTACTAAATAGTGATGCTTTACATACTCCAAGCAAATAGACATACAGTACAGTATAGTCTGGATTTACGCGGTCAATTGAACCCGTGGAGGTCCGCGTAAAACGAGAAATGCGTAAACGAAATAACAGGACATATGGGATTAATTGAAATAGAAACTGGGCAGACCCCACAATTAATATTTAAGAGAAATACAATCGCCGGTTAATGTCTGTTCAAATAATGGACTCAACTCCCGCTCCCCCCCTCTTCCCACGCTCGCTGGCTCCCTCCCTACCCCCCCCACTGTTTTGAGAAATGTTTGGGGAAAAAGACTAGGCTTTTAGGTTTAGTAATAAATAATACCTCAGACTATAGTTAGGAGAATATAATTTACATTGCTGGATTCCATACAAGACAGTGAATAATTTGAATATAAACGTCATATATTTTGCACAAAAGATAAAAATTTTGCTCTCTAATAAAATTCTTAAATTAGATCTAAAATTTATATGTCTAATGCAAATTTTATCTTGTTTATATTCAAATTAATCACTATCTTATAAAAATTCCAGCAATGTAAATTATATTCTGGCTGGGTAATTTCTATGAATTTTATGAGCTAAAAACAAATATCTCATGTAAATAAACAAATTATACTTCACCAGACACAATACGTTACGTACGTTGTAGTAAAAATATTATCTTAATTTTATGATAGTATGCACACACAATTAATATTTAAGAGAAATATCAAAAGCGGTATTATTAGGTTTTTTAACACTTACGTTAGTAGAAGAGATGGCTGGGTACACGGGGTTGGTTCTGAGGCAGAGGGCAGATTATTGGCCCTCACCTGTATCACTTGTATCAATTGTATCACTATTCACCACAGAGGCTTGCAGGGCCTCTTTGTCAAACCCCTCAAAGTCCATATCCTCATTATCACTATCACTGACTTGGGCTGGCTGTGATGGGTGGCGGGTGAAGAACTCGGTAATGTTTTGTTGACTGGGCGACCTAGTGAGCACCCTGCCCGTGCCACTTCCCGCGTAAATGATGGAATGTACCGCATAACTAATAATTGCCGGTCTTTGACAGGTGCCGCGTAAATGACCAAACACGTAAAGGAAATCCGCTTAAATCCAGACTATACTATACTGTACTGTACTGTAATGCACCTTAGTATAGTACTGTATAGGCAGACTCCAAATTACAAGGATTTGATTTACAAAAATTCACAGTTACTGAAACTAATTTTGTCCTGTATTTTAATTCAGGATTGAAAACACCAAATTAAAAAAAAATCATTATTGATAATGAAATTTGTTAAAATAATGTTGTTGTTTTTTTACTATCAATATGCTTACTGATTTCACTAACTTATTTCATTATTCTCTAACACTTGCAATCATATGAAGTCATCATTTTCCTATATGTACTACAGTACAGTATAGAGTAGTCATTATATACAGGTCAGGCAGTCCCCGAGTTATGACTCAGACTTACGAACACCCACACTTACAAATGGGATCCCAATACATTCATCGCCAAAATTTTTAATTAAAATCCCATTTTTTACATTATTTTTATAATTTTGTCTTGTTTAACATTACTTTATTTACAGTATTTACATTATTTGTGATGTATGAGATACAGTATTATCGTTGTTTTTTATGGGCAAGGTTGTGCTTTAACTTAACTTAAACTATGGAATTAACACTGCTCTAACTTACCAACAAATCGACCCATGATCAGGGTCCAGGAACGTATCCCTGTCATAACTTATTTCTCAGGCTCACGTGAAGACAAATAACTTGTCACTCACACCACCACACACAGTCACTGATTATTCATTTTCTTCACATTTACCCTCATGTAATACTGTACTGTGTGTGGCAAATTAAATACTGTAAAATAAATTTATTGTGTACTGTACCGTACTCTTAAATTTCATTTACTAATTATGTATAATAAATGTATAGTTTTAAGAGAAAGTGTGGAGTATGGAAGTAAAGTGGACTGTCAGCTGATAGTTGAGATGGCGTTCATGCCATGTAAGCAAAGCAGCGGGAATTTAGGATGACTCGGTAACTCACCAGGAGTAGAGCTTTTTGTTTTATTTTTTCTCCTAGGGAACTCATCTCCAAATACATAATGGGAGTCAATGTACAGGTACATCACTACTTTACTGCATATATTTCACTTAGGGATAATGTTTATTATTGGCTGATAAGTAATCATTGTGTGCACTATAAATTTTAATTAAGAACTTCTTTTGTATTTTGAGGTATTTTATGACTTTCTGCTTATGCATTTCAGTTTTTATAATGGTACAATATTATACAGAAAAATCTAATTAAATTTACAAAAGGTTTTCAGGAATGAAACCCTTTTGTAAATCAGGGTCTGCCTTTACTATACAGGTATGATGAAAATTATTAACATGCTAAAAAAAATTATCTTGTGAAATAATTTGTCCACAACCTCATGCACACTTGGTTGAGGAACTGTAAAAAAAATTAAGGTAATCTATTACATTGTATAATATTACACAGCTGAAAATGGCAGGCCATGGGCGACCTATTTCACCGGAAGAGGTAAACAGGACAGAGAGATCAGTACTTCCTATTTCCCTCACCAGCCGCCTACAAACCAACACATGGCGCCAAGTGTTTACATCTCTGCGACCTCTTGTAGCACAGACACGCCAGAGGACACTAAGTACTTATGCTCGCAGGTAAACATTATTGTATTTTCATGAAGCTCTTTTTTTGGATAACTGTAAACCCCTCCTCTGTACATGTAAGAGTTCATGTTACATTCAGATCTGGGCATGTTTCAAGAGTGATATTAGTTACCACACAATTACAGTATACATTACCTGTATTAAATTAAATTAATTGTTCTAGAAAGAGTATTTTTACTCATAATTCACATTTTTGGGGGGGCCAACACTGCTCACGAAGTAAAGATAACTGTAATGTAAATACAGTAGGGTGAAATAGAAAGTTTTTACATTGTTCATTATTAGTCATAGTTTATTGAATAGATTCATGTTGTCATTAAAGCACAATTAATCAGTGTTACAGTGTGTGAGTTAGTTACCTTATTAGGATGTTATTAAGGGTTTGTGCACATTAGCTGCTTTTGCAGCATGCAACTATTTACAGATACTGTACTGTACACTGGAACCCCGCATTACGAGATGGATGTATTCTTGAAAAGTGGCCGTATCTCGAAATTCTGAAATGCAAATCATTTTCTCATATATACTCCAATGTTAAAAGTGAAGTGCATTCAGACGGAAATTTTTTTGGTCAACACAAGTAATAAAAACAAACTTATAAATGGAGATATACATTTATTAACACTAATAATTATAATTTAGACATTATATTTTACATATCAAAATTAATAGTAAATACATAAGCTTTACTCACCAGAGGTGGTGTTGAATGGTGCATAAGGTGGTAGTGGCAGTGGGATGGTATAGGGAAGGAGAGGGAGGCTCAGTGGCATCTGCCTCACCCTGTATATCATCATCACCACCACCACCTTCCTCATCGTGTGCTGCAGGAAGGGTTGGCAAAAAATATTAAAGCTATGTATTATGTTGGCTTGAATAAGTTTAAGTATTTGTAGGCCTTTTTATAATTTTTTAATATGCTAGTAATCATAACATTACAGTCAGAATGATTTCGCAATCATTTATACTCTTTTCCAGCTCAAAAGATGACTGGGCAAAGAACAAATTTGAAAAACACAAACTTTGATCAGTCATCCAGACACATCCTACATGCTTAAAGGCAAAAACTAAGTTTAACTCCATCTTAATGCATGCAAAAACTATTCTACTTTTACATTTCAAAGTTTAAAAAAATTAATTTAAGTACAGTTGGAGAGAGAAGAGAGAGAGAGAAGAGAGAGGAGAGAGAGAGAGGAGAGAGAGAGAAGAGAGAGAGAGAGAGATGGGCAGTGGCAACTTGGCTTCCCTGGACCGTTTAATACGTGATCTGAACACATTACAATCAGAGGTTCAGAGCCCAACCATAAACGGAAGCAGTCACCAGTTATACTGGACAGTGGCAACTTGGTTCCCTTATAATCAGGATCTGAGATAGATGCAGCCCTGTAAGAAAGCTTATTATCGTCGCTCTCACCAGTGTATAATAGTTCACATCCACGTATAAATTGAACACCCACGGGGACATAATGCATCCCTGTCTAACACCCACATCTAGTTCAAATGTTTCACATTACTTCCCATTTACTCTTTCTGTTGTCCTGCTGTTCGTATAGAATGCTTTTATTGCATTTAATAGTCTTCCTCCCACTCCATACACTTGTAATACCTCCGACATTGCTTTTCTCTTCATCCTTTAATGCGCCTTTTCCAAATTTACTATGAATTATTAAACCCATCTGTAAGTAATAAAACCAACAAAAAACTTATTAAAGGAACAAAAAAGCATAGGTTATATTATAAATTTTTTATTTTTTTATTTGGTTTAAACAAGAAGAGTTGTGTGCTGTTTCCAGTGCATCTTCTCTTTGTAGAGTTCCTTGTAGCAGTTCATGACATCATTTACCTGTATTTATTGTGAAATATTTAGGCTACGCTCCCGGTTCGGATCATTAGCACTTATGATTTCCATAGCTTCATCAAAGAGGGAAAAGATTTCTTCAGTTAACTAGGATAAATCCTCGCTGCTTCAACATCAGTATTGGCAGCTTCACCACTTAGTTTAATGTTGTGCAAGTTAAATCTCTTCCCAAACCTGTCAAAATATCCTTTACTTGCCTGAAAAGATTTTTCTTGTGATCCTCCACTACCTTCCTTTAACAATGACTCATCATACAAGCTCTTGGCCTTAGCTTGAATAACCATTGTAGGTATTGGTACATTACATTGAGACTGGTCTTTGATCCACACACAAGGAGTCTTTCCATATTCAGCATCACTTCACTTTGACGAAAATAAAGTGTCTGAGGGCATAATGGTGTTGCAGCTTGATTACCTGCCTTAATTTTGTCTCTGTTGTCTTGTAATGTTCCCATTGTGGATACAGCAAGCCCCAAAGTCTTAGCAACGGTGCAAGTTTTCTCCAGCATCAAATTTCAGTTAAACATCGAGTTTTACGTCCATTGTAATTCCTTTATGTGATCGTTTAGGTGTAGTACAGTACTGTACTTGCTTTTGAACGTTCTGGTCTTTTTGAAAACATCTTAAGGGTAAATGCACTTCAGAGTGTGGAAAAATCTTGAAAGAAAAACAGGTAGGAGTGGAGGTAGACCGTAACTGACGCACTCCCAGATTCAAATCAAAGCCTGCCACCAGTGTCATCGACACACATTTGTTTTTCACGTTTAATAATTGAAAAATAAATAAATAAATAAATTCCATAAAAGCAAACTTACATTCCATATCTTGATTTTATTGGTAGTGATTTTCAATATCTGTAATTGTTAATTTCTGTAACAAGAATTCTCGTAATGCAGGGTCCAGTGTATTTAAACGGTAAGGAAATGTTAATATTTCTGGCAATATTTAATTGTAGCCGACATAAAATAGCAATACTGTATAGTGTAAATGTGCTTATACTGTACAGTACAGTACTATGCAGTATTTTGTTACATAACAAAGTAATGCCATCTTAATTTTTGTGTGTGTGTGTCGATATGTGGTTTTTTCTGAGTCAACTTTTTTTAAGAACAGTAATACTGTACATGTACTGCACTAACTTAAATGAAATTTAGTCAACAGCAGGTAAAAAAAAAAGATGAGCATACAAATAATGTTTCTTATGCTTGGAACTTCATGTTAACAGATTACAGTAAATATTGCATTATGTATCAACTTTCATTACTTCAGTAATTGTTCCAGTGATTTATTTTAAGTCATAATTCAAGCATTTACAGGAAATATACCATTTTAATATCTCTTAATCATTTCTGGACATAATTTCTATCAGGTTACACCAGCGACAGCATGATGTTCAGTTCAGAAGACCTCAGCTGGAAGGTGAGGAACAACAGTCACTCCTGTACCCACATCCACCAGACCTTCATGGTGAAACAAATAGGGGAGCAAGAGGAACTGATAACATGAACAATGTTATTATTGACATAGAGGATGGCAACAGTTATGTTAGTCATTCCCAGAACATCCCTGACATTCCAGTTCCTCCACAACTGTTACATACTGAACCACATAATTCTAATCTTCCTACTGATAATATTCATGGATCTGTAAGTGCCTCCAGTACAGTTGAAGGATCTGGAAGTTCTTTTACCACCTCTTCAACATCAGAGCCACTGTTACCAATGTCTGGTACAACTGCTTCAGTAGATGAAGGAGGAAATGCAGCTGAAACAGCTCATAATGATGCTACTGGTGCCAGTACTAACAGGTAACATATTAGTAGTTAGTATGTCTTTTTATGAACGCATTCAGCCTCTAGAAATAATTATTTACACTCACATGGTGTGATATAATCCCAAGAGTTGGCATCATTAACATTAAGTACTGTAATGTAGCTTTAGTTCCTTCAGGATCAATCTAAGTTAATAGATGCAGTACAGGTGTAAAGAACGCATCATATTTTGTTCCCAAATATTTCCTCTTTTCACTTGACTGCTTCTACCTTCTAGTGTTATTGATATTGCTACATTCCTTTATGTGTTTATGACTGTGTCCTCATAATTTTCTTTTAAAAAATTGCTGCATTTGACTCTCCATGTCTCTTTATGATAGATTTCACCTGCATGAGAGCACAGAAGTGCTTCTGGTTTAACCCAGGCAACATAGTTATTGTAACCGCTGTTGACCACCTTACCCTTTTACATTTAAGGTGTACTGAATTTCTGAAACTCCTGCACTCACTACTGACAGCTTACAGCCTAAATAAGCGAAAATCCTGAAACGTGTGCTTCTGTGCACACATATTAATGAATAGCGAGAAGATTATGCAAGTTTTCTAGACAGACAGGATGACTTTTTCCAGAACTGGTTCATGATTAATGGGTTAAGTTTGGCCACAGCTAAGGTGATGATTGCCACAACTCCCATAATAACAGTTTTAAACAAAGAACCCCCCCCCTCCCCAGAGAGACAAGGAGGGGTGAAGCACATGCAGAATGATAATTTAAAATACGTAATGGTAATAAACCTGCAAACTCTGGCTGACACACAAAGAAATGTTTATTTAATTTGTTTTTGACCTTTTGATAGTTATATCTTTAACTTTCTTTTCACAATACTACTGTATGTATATAGGATTGTGTGTAGATGTAATTGAGTAAAAAAAAAGAAAGAAAGAAAGAAAGTTACATATATCTGCCCAAAATTCTGAGTTAAAAAAATAACCATAATATCTCACTGCTCGGTAAGGTCAGCCTTCCACAAGCATGTCCTACGTAATTATTGTTCACTGTAAATAAGTTATAAACTTGAAATTCCGGACACGCGATTGCTGGAAATTCTGTGGTCAACCAGTATATTAAAATTTTCCTTGTAAATGGTGATGCAAGAACACATAATTGATTCACTTAAGCAGATGAGGTCAGTCACTGTCAGCCAATATCAGTACCTTTACTTGTCTGAATACTGTATATGGATTAGTTCTATATTTCTTAGTGCCCATTTTCATGTTTTATTTTTCTGAATATAATACATGGTGCATAATTACTGTGCATTGTGTAATGGCTGTGGTTGATTACTGATTTCTTGTTTGTATTGTGCGCCTTGTGGCTGATTACTGTACTATATAAAGATTGCAGACCCCTGGTCTACACCATTGCAACATGCCACTGCCACCAGACTGTGTGTGCATGATCACCTAAATCACACATGGTCAATCAATCAATCAGAGTACCGCCCTCATATCTGTGGGTTGGTGACCACAGTCCTCCATTCTAAACGTTCCCAGGCTGTTTTTACCAATCCTCCAGTTTTTAATTTCATTCATCCATCCCAGTCTCTGCCTCTGGCCCTTCTATCCTCAACTTTGAAGCTTTTGCTAATCTTAGTACTTCTTCATTTTGTTGTCCTGTCAGTGTAGCTTATTCTTAGCATTTGCCTACAACACTGCATTTCAAAGGCCTCCCTCCAACCTTTTTCTGGGGTCTGCTGAAAGTGTTCACACATCTGAACCATACAATAGTCCTTGTCATGTAAAGCCTTTCAGCAGCTTTTTTCTCAAATTGAAGTTAATGTCTCTTTTCATTAGGTCTTTTAGATTATTAAATTCAGTTTTTGCTTGCCCTATTCTTGCTAATATTACTTCCCAAATACACAAAATTTTCCACTTGTTTAAGTTCCCTATTGCTTACCATTAACTCTTAAACTATATTTATCACCTTTTTCCACTAATATGTTAATGAGTTTTTGTAATGCCTCTTCACTATCTGTGATAAGAGCAATATCATCTGCATAGCATATATTTGATAGGCCCTTTTAAAAATATTTAATTGTGACTTGCTTTTAAGAAATCTTGGTCATAACATGTGCATGATTTTATCTAAAGGTAGTGGTGTACCGGTTATGTGCCTGAAAAATAGATCATAATGATCTACTATCTAAGAAATGGTTTATTTTCTGTGTAACAATTGCTTTTTACTTTGGCAACTTACTGTAGTCACCAAATTTAATAGACAGTAAATAATAATTTTACTACACAACTCTCAATTTTTTGTTCTTAACGTCCCACTTGTAATGTTACTCTGTTTAGCTGTACAGTCAAAAAAAAATATATGCACCTCTATGGTGTTATACAATATGACACACCGAACCAAGAATTCTGAAAACACTCATTTACGTGGGTGATTCCTGTTAATTTCTCTGTATTAACTATATGTGATATAAAAAATACATCATACTGGTTATACAATGCATCACACAACCAGAAATACCAACCTTATCAAATTTACATGGCCTTAGTCAGTGATCGTTGCACTACAGTGTCACAATCCTTAAAAGTAAGAGGAATAAAGGTACTGTAATAGATACTGTGTGTGTAGATAAAAATTAATGATTAATTGTTATGTACTGTATCCATATACTGTACTGTACCGTACTTGTAACTTAAGTTCAACAAAATATATACTGTATATATATATATATATATATATATATATATATATATATATATATATATATATATATATATATATATATATATATATATATATATATATATATATATATATATATATATATATATATATATATATATACATACATATATATACATATATATATATATATATACACATATATATATTTACATATATATATATATATATATATACACACAGTGAACCCTCACTTACGCGTGTCAATTGAACCTATAGGTCATGGCGTAGAACAAAACATAACATATGGGATTAATTGAAATAGAGACCGGGCCGATCCCCAAACTCCACTTTTTCAGACACACAACTACGTAGTAAAAAATAACTCTTAATTTTATGATGGTATGTGCACACACAATTAATAATTAAGAGAAATATCAATAATATTAGGTTTTTTAACACTTACATTAGTAGAAAAGATGGCTGGGCACACGGGGATGGGGGGTTAGTTCCGAGGCAGAGGGCAGATTATTGGCCCTCACCTGTATCACTTGTATCAATTGTATCACTATCCACCACAGGCTTGCAGGGCCTCTTTGTCTAACCCCTCAAAGTCCATATAAGTCCATATCCTCACAATCATTATCACTATCACTGACTTGGGCCGGCTGTGGTGGGTGGCGGGTGAAGAACTCGGTAATGTTTTGATGACTGGGCGACCTTGTGCACACCCTGCTCGCGCCGCTCTCCGCGTTAAAGGGTACACACACCGCGGAAAGTGAGCATTCCATGTTCGGCAGGGTACCTCATAAACGTGGAAACGCGTAAAGCGAGGGTTGACTGTATATATATATATATATATATATATATATATATATATATATATATATATATATATATATATATATATATATATATATATATATATATATATATATATATATATATATATATATATATATATATATATATATATATATATATATATATATATATATATATATATATATATATATATATATATATATATATATATATATATATATATATATATATATATATATATATATATATATATATATATATATATATATATATATTTTTATATATATATATATATATATATATATATATATATATATATATATATATATATATATATATATATATATATATATATATATATATATATATATATATATATATATATATATATATATACAGGGTGTCCCATAAATGTCTATACATAGGAAAAATAAAGTTTATATGAAAATCCATTTTTATTTATATAATATGCTCTACATGACTACCATTCTGTTGAAAACACTCTTCAATGCGTGTCCTCCACTGCTGAAGAACACGTTCAAGCACAGCTGGAGTTATGCTTGTAATGGCGTTGGTGATACGTTGTATGGAAACTTATGGGACACCCTGTATATGTGTGTGTACAGTAGTACCCCGATTTACTCGGTCAATTGAACCCACAGGGTACCGTGGAAAGTGAAAACCGCGTAAAGTGAACAACAGAACATATGGGATTAATTCCAATAGAGACTGGCCCGACCCCCAAACTCCACTTTTTCCTACACAGTACCTATGTTGTAATAAAAATAACATCTAAATTTTATGATGGTATGCTCACACAATTAATATTTAAGAGAAATACAGTCTCCAAGTTAATGTCCATTCAAATAATGGACTCAAACTCTTCCCAGCTCACTAGCTCCTACCTCTCTGAGAAATGATTGGGTGAAAACACTAGATTTTAACGTTTAGTAATAAATAATACCTCAGACTAAAGTTAGGATAATATAATTGACATTTCTGGATTCCTTGCAGGTCAGGGAATATTTTGAATGTAAACTTCATATATTTTGCACGAGAGATAAAATATTTGCTTTGTGTAAACCAAATTATTATATTAGATCTAAAATTTGTATGTCTAATGCAAAATCCATGATGTTTATATTCAAAATGATCATATTGTAAGAATTCCAGCAATGTAAATTATATTCTGGCCGGGTAATTTGTACGAATTTTATGAGCTAAATAAAAAAAAAAAAAATTATACTTTATCACAGATAGAGATGACCAAGATAAAGTGAAACTAGTTGTGGAGTAAGGCAATCACAGAATGAAAAATCGCGAAAGTGTAAAAACTGTGGTAAAGGGGTAATACTGCATGTATGTATGTATGTATGTATGTATGTATGTATGTATGGTGTATATATATATATATATATATATATATATATATATATATATATATATATATATATATATATATATATATATATATATATATATATATATATATATATATATATATAAACAAGTTCATAAGTAACATACAAATGAAGAAGATTTTGAAGTTAAAGAGCAAGAAATGCATAAAATTTAAGTATGAATTTAAAAATTGTTGTGAACAATTATTATTTATTGAAATTATTAATGATAATGACTAACAGTATTAGCTAAACTACCGGATAAAAGCCATCCCTAGCTTACAATAGGATCAAATTTTTAAGTAAATATCTTACTTCAAATAGAATGTCAATGTAGTGCACAGTTTTATACAGTTTTCTTTTGAGTCATGCTGTCTTAAAATATATTTAATGCAAAAATGATTTGTGTCAACTGGGTTCAGGGTTGCTCCACAATGACTAAACATTTCCTTTGACAGGAGTGAGGGTGAATCCCTGACAGAGCTGCTCAGTCAGTTCCCAGAGGTTCGTAGTGGGCTCCTGGTGGCTTGGCATTACTGCATATTTTTCTCCATAATACTTGCCAAGGCTCTGTTTGATCACTTAACTGGTAAGGTATTTGTATGTCACTGTGATATAATTTATACAGTACGTGTATTAGCTTTATGTAATTAAATTTAGAATGTAGTTGCAGTTCTATTGACAGCACCCAGACTCTAGTTTAAGGTATCCTTGGGTTTAGGACTTCATCAGTGCTTTGATAGCCTTGTTAGCTTTAGCCCACAAACCTCTGTTGCATGTCTTTGGTATACAGTATATTTTACAAAACGATATACAATACTGTACAGAATTATTGTGGCGGAATCTCAAAATTGGTATAATGTGGTTATTGTTAGGTTATATGTAAGAGGAAATGTGAGGATGACAGGCATAATATAATAATAATAATAATAATTAACGGTTTATTGAAAAAATTCTGCAGCCCGAGGGCTGAAAATATACATTGGACATAAATGACTTATTACATACATTGGTGGTTTAACAAAAGCCTTCATTAGAGAAAGGTAAAGGAACATACAGTGAACATACAGATTAATGTAGGCAAGGAACAGCAAACTCGTAGTAGTAATTCCTCCCAGATGGTGGTGTTAGAGAACTTCATGTAGTAGTAGTTCTCAGATGCAGCAGGAGGACCTGTGTGTGTAGTAATTCTCAAGAGATGGTGGGGTGTTATGAGGGCCTCTACGGTGTAGTAATTTCTCACAGATGGTGTTATGAGGACCATGGTAGTACTCACTCACAGATGGTGTTATGAGGGGCCTCAGCGGGGTGTAGTAACTCCTCACAGATGGTGTTATGAGGCATCACGTGGTGTGTAGTAGTTCCCTCATGATGGTGTTACAGGAGGGACTTGACGTGGTGTAGTAATTCCCTCACATATGGTGTTATGAGGGACATGTGGTGTAGTAATTCCCTCACAGATGGTGTTATATGAGTGAGGTTTGGTCCCAGGCCTTTCTATCATAGACGGATTAATACATCGGTGGTTGTTGTTGGGTCTCGTGGGCCGTTATCACTGGGTACCTGGGACCTCACTGTGTGAAGGTTAACTTGGGTACGACTGTTACTGTTGAGTTGTTCTCACTGACTTAAGCACTGTTCACCACTGTTCACCTCTGTTTAACACTGGTTCCGTTCCTTTCCTAAATGAAATTGTAACTTCTGGCAAGAACTTGTTGATATTCCGGTGGGGAGGAGGGTTCAGGGAAGGGGGTTGGTATGGGCCAACTTAACAGTTGACCTGGCTGCTCCGAGAGGAGCGCCAGGTACGTCTTGACCCTTCGGTGGTCAATCAGTAGAACCTCATGCTAGGGATGTCCTAGTGGAGTACAGTAGTATACTTTGGGTGTTGGGTTCCAGCCATAAAGCTTAAGAACAAGAGACTCCTAAGTGTTAGTACTCAGCTGACAAAATAATATACCCTGGGTGTGATGATTATTTTAAGTTTATATTAATTTATACAGTCCTACATTTCATATTTCTCTCCCATCTCAGTGTACTTCAATGATTCTTCTGTTCAATAATGTGTTTACTTAGCACATCTTTATGATAAAAGAAAGTGACCCTTCATGTGCCATCACTTTGTAAGGCAAAACTAAGAATAGGTAAGGACAGGAACCTACTCATACCAAATAGAATCATTCACCAAGATTAAGTTGTTCTGAGAAATGGAAGATTTTTTAGAGGGAAACTAGACCTGGGCTGATAAAGTACGACGACATGGGGTCCCCGGGTTACGAACGCGTTCTGTTCCTGAGGGCGTTCGTAAGTCGGAACACATGCTATGTGCATACTGTACTTACAGAACAATGTATAAATCCCACTGTATCATAGCCTAAGTCCTTATATACTTCTAAAACCACTTACTTTGAGACAAAAGAAGAAATAGAATGACAAAATACATTAAATGAAAGTAAAAAATAAGTCATCAAGTAAATAAAATACTGTACTGTACTGTATGTGGCTGTCTCTGTACCAACCTTCAGCTGTATACAAACTACTGGGCAATTATGAATAATCTTCCTGATTTCAAACATTTGTTGTACGGTACTGGGTATTGTGAAATGCTAACAAGGTTACAACAAAAAGCAAGATATATTAGTAAAGAAGTATAATCAAAAAGTTTTATTTTCAAGCTAAAGAAGTTCAGTGTGAGTTTCTTTTGGGGCTGTGCAGACGCCAAAGTGGGATTCTGTTTCCCTCCATACATGTTGTAGGTTAGGTTAGGTTAGGTTAGGTTGAAACAAAATCTTTGACATGACCAAAGAGAAAAAAGTAGTTTTATTATTTTTCATAATGTTTGGAGTAGGGAAGATCGTTTGTAATTGCCCAGTTTAGTAGTTCATATACCATAATGCTGAAAATTCAAAATGACATTCACACTGGAGGCTGTTCTCAGTAGTATTTAAAAAAAAAAATTGTCAACAGCATGTTAAGCCATCAGAGGTTGGGCTTTCCATTCCACTCCCCCCCCCCCAAAAAAAAAATCTGTGAGTACAGCAATACCAATACAGTATCATATACAGGTATGGGACTGTTTATCTGGCATTCCACTATCTGGACCATTGCATAAACTAGATATGTTCTGAAATAAATTATTTAGATGAGCGCCAATTAATTTCTGGTTCGAGCTGGGAAATTTCCATCTGTTACCCTCCTGTGAGCTGTTTGCTATGTTGTGGTTGTTTTTTAACTTGTAATTTCAGGTATTTATGTTAAAAAAAATTTGCGAAATCAAATATTTTGCAAAATTCCCGGCTTGCATATTGGTAATTTTGCGAAATAACTTACAAATTAGGCTAATCAATGTTATAAAACAAAAAAAGAACACGACCACTTAACTGTGCATAAATCTACACGAGCCATCCTAACCTAACCTAACCTCTCACTTAACCTAACCATAAGGTTAGGTTAGTTTAGGTTGTCTGTTTGTAAGTTATTTCGCAAAATTACCAATATGAAAGTATATTGCTTATTTGTGCAATTTACCATTTTTTTCTTCACACAGGACTGATGGTCGTCTTAACATTAGTTGTTGGGTTTATGTGGAGCAACAACATTGTAAAGAAGGCCGTAGCTCAGCAGGGAAGACGCCCTATAAAGCCTCTTCTGGCTTTGCTTGTAAATCTTCCTGCTGGTGTGTTCTTCCTATACTATTCTTACAGAAGTGACAAGCTATTCTACAGGTAAAAAACCAACAACTGATTTGGATTTTTGTAGCTCAAGAGAAAGTCCATTTATTAAAGTTTATACTTTATATGGGAAATAATATAATAATGAGGATTTTATTCATGGAGGAGAGTGTTGCAATGTATTAAGTATTGAGCAAGTTGTTAAACCTATTAGGGACTGATCAAGGAAGATTGGAGAAGGAGGAGTAAGATAGAATAAAGGTGGATGGAAATTTCCTCTTTTAAGTCAAATGGGTGAAAACCCTTGATGTCACTAGGAGTGTGTGAAGCAAATGTTTGTTTATGAGGACTGGTATATTCTATACAGTATTGTGCAGGGGATGACTTTCTCTTTTATATACAGTATAGGCTGAAGGGATTGATATTACCTACTTTTCCTCTAATGTTACTCCTGTACATATTCATCTTCTCTAGTGTCCTGCTGATTCCTCCTGACCATGAGGGATACGGAGTGATGGACCTGATGTGGATCGTCATTGTGTCTGACTATGTACTGAAGCTTGTGACAGTACTGGTGAAGGCTGTCATCACGCTCATGCCTCACTCACTTATGCATTACCAGAATAGGGTATGTACAGTGTACAGTCTGAAACATTTCATAATTATAAATTGACAGCTGAATGAGAAGTATGTTTGGGACAGGGAGTACCAAAACCAGTACAAGGATCATGTCCATGAATTGAAAGAGATTGGGTGAAGAAAGCTTTGTGGCTAGGCAACTACAAGAGAAATATCTGGGGAAGGAGAGAAACATTTACCTTGTTCAGTATTTGTAGCTATGATTTTTGGAATAGCTTGTTCAAATGGTTATGGCACTATATGAGGGCTCAAACACTGCTGGGAGTACATGGTGAAGAAAATGAAGAATTTGAGGCAAAAGTAGGGGTTCATTAGGGGTCTCTCTTGAGCCCCTTCTGTTTATCATAGTGCTAGAGGCAATATTACATGACTGGCCTGCCCTGGGAGTTGTTGTATAATGATGACTTTGTGGAGAAATTTTAGAAATGGAAGGATGGAATTGAGTCAAATGGATGGAGAGTGAAGGTGGCAAAAATTAATGTATTAGTAGTGTAGGTGAGGGATGTGTGATGGAAAGTGGAAAATGACCATGTACTGTTTGTAGCAAAGATGTTGGCTGCAACTTATTACTGTGCAACAATTGTGGAAGGTGAGACACACAAGAGGTACAATGGAGTAGATGGCAGATTGCAGAATGTTACTGATTTTAAGTGTCCTGTATGTGCAGGTAAAATGTGACCTTTACAAAGCTGGAAAAACTCATCATAGGGGATATATAACCCCTGGATAGTGTCAATGAATTCTATTATTTGGGTGACATGATCAATACTGGAGGCAATACTGCAAGAATTAAAAATGGCTGGATAAAGTTTAGGGCGTGGCTGCCTTTATTGAAAGAAAAAGGACCTTTCCTCTGTGTGAAAGGAAAGATGTATGCAACTGGTGTGAGAAATGCGATACTGTATGGCAGTGAAACGTGGATGGATAAAATGGATGATATATACAGCGTATATATATGCAGGCTTGAGCAAGCTAAAATGAGAATGGTGAGGTGGATGAGCACTGTGACTCTGAAAGATAGAAAATCATTCAGAGTTAGAAGATGGCTGGGTATTGAGTGTTTGTGAAGTTTTTCATAGATGTAGGCTGAGATAGTTTGAGCATGTGGAGAGAATGGATGAGACCAATTGGGTCAAGAGATGCAAGAGCCAAAATGTGGAGAGGAGGAGAGCCAAGAGTAGGCAAATAATGACATTGGTAGTGGTTGTAAGAAATGACATTATAGTAAAAAAGCTGATGAGAGAGACTACAAGAAATCATGCAGCAAGGATAGCTGCCATCAGGTAACTGCAGTTAACCCACACAAATGTGGAAAATAACTAATGTTGAACATTATTATTTCTCTTATTGGTCAAATACATTAACTGAAGGGCATGTTCCATTCAAGCATTCGTGAGTTGTTCTTAAGGATGTAATTTGAGTTAATGGTTGACAGAGTAAGTAGATGTATCAGTCTAGCAGTTTATTAGAGGCATAATTTGTTTTTTAATTCTTATTATTGCACATGTTTTTTAGTGTCTGAGTTACTAGGGACATGTGGATGAAGTAATTATTATAAAAAGGGACATTTTAATATGATTTTTGGATCTTTGAATTTTGGTCTTAAACATTTTTCATTGATGGATCTTGTTACCTTTATGACTGTCATCTATGATACAGTAGTAGAAGAGACTCCCTGTGTCATATAAAATCCTATTATCAGTTCATCTATATCTTCCTGTTATTGACCCAACCCTTCCCATGGACTACAGTATACTACTGAAATTCAGCCATGCTTTTCAAACTTACAAATTTGGGAATTGAGCCCCAACAACTTACTGTATAAGAATACTGTACTGTATTTTTCTTGTGTAGTAACTGTCCAAGTTGCATATCATCACATCTGCCTTTCATTGTGTTGTTTTTTTGAATGAATTACTTTATTAATAGATTTTTAAACTGCTAATGCCCTCACTGAAATAATTATTATTATTTTCTTTTTCCAGGGCAAATACTTCTTAGTGGTGGAGATGGGTTCACAACTGTACCGGTCCCTAGCACCCATCCAGCCCTGGCTGTCATATCTACTTGATGGATATGCTGGGCCACGGAAAGTACTTGGTATTTTCCTGTCAGCTACTTATATGGTTTGCAAGGGACCTGATATTGTAACCAAAATGAAGTGCTTTCAGGCTGCAATTGTCAAGTTTATTAACAGTGTGGTAAGAGCCTTTTCAATTGGTAATATACTGCAAAGTAATTTTAAAGGGGCAGAGATAATACTTCAATCATGTAACAAACACACATGCATGTGCACACACACACACACAGAGGAGATTGAATTCTCTGAATGACATTTAAGGTACTTGTCAGTGAACACCTATAATTATTCACACAATCACAAAATTAAAGATAGAAATAATTTAACTTATATAAACATTACAAAGTATACTGTATGAAGATGACACTAAAACAAAGATGAGGAGCCATGGGGGAGGTTGGGGCCTTAAAATTCTTGCTTCATGTCCTTAACCTCTTTAACTTATGGTCTTCCTTGGGACCAGGAGAAAGATGGGTGAGGGAGAAGGGGATGGTGAAATTGGAGAAGGGAAGGGGAAGAGAGGTAAGGAGGCTGGTTCTCTGTCGCTTTGTCTCTCACACACACACTTGCAGATAAAATAGATTTATGACACTTGAACTTAATTTTAGAATGGACCCAGTTTCACCAAATAAAGCCTAGATTTCAAAAAAATTCTGAGGGAGATCCTATACTCTTCCCTGTCCAACCCCTGATTAATGGATGTTTAGTTCTGTCTCTGTACATGATGGGTGTGTGTTTACATCTGTACATGAAGGGTGTGTGTTTACAGATATATCGTCAGTGCCTTAACCCCTTGTTGAAGAAAATGACAATATAATTCGCCCTGTCTGCATGATACTGTTGTCTTGTGTTATGTTTCACCTGTGTGTTTTATATTTTCATTTTGCTATTCCGGTTTGTTCAACATTATGAATAGAAAGTGAATGAGACCAGGAACATAAGTATATTGTACTGTTTTGTGTCCTTTAATTACCCAATTTGTTATATTGGATAATAATTTTTGTAATTGAATTATGGGTTACTGCACTTTTACATTCAATATGAATTATACCAATACTTGATGCTATAATGTTACAATACAAGAATTATGTGTTTGTAATATTTTTGGCCCCATTTGAGTTCCTTAGGTCAATATACTTAAGATCTCCACAATTAAAATTTTTTCTCAAGTATCCAATAATGTTTCAAAGAAAATTTGGGTCAAGTATGGAAGCCTTATGGTCTCATATTTTTTAGAAATGACACTTAGTGCAAACCAACCTTGAAATATCATGAAAAGATTAAATAGTTTGTTTATAATTTAGAATGCCAATGTCTTGAGAATACAGCTTTTTTGTTAGTGTGTTGTTTGAGAATTTAGACTATCACGGCATTCGATGTAAAGGTTTTTCTGTAGTGTTATATTTGAGCGTAATTAATTTGATTATAACCATTGAATTTGATTTCCAGGTCATTTCACATACTACTTTATACTGAAACCCTTTAAAGATATGGAGGAATGAAAAAGGCAAATGAAAGAAGAACAAATGATAATTAAGCAAGATGTGACAGGTATGCATAGAGCCACCATAGGAATAATAGGGACAGGAAGTGAAAAAGGATGGAGTAGATGGCCAGATTTTATTGGTTAAGAACGCCAGAGTGTGTATAATTTCCCTGTATAATGTACGAAGTAATAATAGACCAGTTTATGGCAAAATGATATAGGAACATGTTTGGTAATTACAGTAAACCCTCAATAACTCGACACATATGGGCTCTGCCCTTGCCGAGTTATCCCTAATTCTGACTTATAGAGGCACTTCCCCCCCCCCCCTTCTACAGAAATACAAAACAAAAATTATCAACTCATAGATGTGTACATGTAATTACTAAATGTAAAAAGGTAACACTTACCAGCACTGCAGGCGAAGAATGAAGCATCTTAGTAGGTGACACAGATGCATGGTAGGTAATATAGGTGGCCAGATATGCCGAGATTTTCCCAGATAATTTTATATATCACAGCATTTCCCGAGTTATACTAGTACATTCCGAGACCATATCCATTCCGAGTTATATGAAATGCTGAGTTATCGAGGGTTTACTGTTTACTGTACTAGTATATGTGGGAAAGAGGTAGTCATTCTTATGATGCGAACAAAAAATGTGATAGGACAGGGATATTGTTGGTTCAGCAATGGCTTAAATGTTTGTTTTAGGGAGGGAAAAAGAAGAGAATTTGTTCATGATATTTTTAGACTTGGAAAATTCAGATGACCTGTAAAATAAAAGCAGTGTAGGAAGTATTAAAAAATATTTGAGATACTGTACGTGAGAAAGTGTTAAATGCTGTCCGGAGTATTTATAGAGTGAATTTTTCAGTGGACGCTGATATTGAGGAGGCCTTAGGGATGTGCAGGTCATCAGGATTGTTCAGAAATTTCATGGATGGTGTAGTGAAAAGGAAAGTGGGTCACATAGGCCTAACAGCCCCCCAAGAGCAATGCAGATACAATACACTGTGGACTAAGCCATCTTTTGGTACACAAGGCAGCAGTATGGCTGGCACTTTATTCGATTAATTACACTTTCCTTAACTGTAAAGTTAGATACATATTCACAGCTGGATGAACTAGTGTGCCTAGGCATGAACCAATGATCCTTAGGACAGAATGCAGCACTGTATCCACTTGTCAAGAGTAATGGGTAGGAGTCTTAAGTTTGATTGATAGTAATGAGGTGACTTTGCTGTAATTGCTGTTCCAGAAGAAAAGCTGCAATCATTAGTTAATGAGAACAAAAGAGTGTGTCTTAGGAGAAAGTTAATGATGAATGAGAATGAAAATTAAGCAATGTTAAACTGGATAGAAAATGTGGGGATTTAGGCATTACAGGTACAGCATTTGGAAGTGGATGCATCATTGAATAGAGCAGTTGAGGTAAAGAAGGTAATATGTGCATTGAGAAATGTGTAGAGAGAGAGAGAACTATATCAAAGTGGACAAAGATGGACAACACTGTAAAAATGTGATGCTTGGATTCTGGATGCAAGAAGAAGCAAGTTGGAAGCAGGAGAAATAATTTGCATGAGAGCAAAGTACAGTATAAGAAACATAAATATAAGATGGAATGATGGACATTGAAGGAATAAAATAACAGGAAGTGAAGAAAGAATTAGTGTTTCTCTTGATTATGGCCATCTTTTGCTGTTGATGGAAAGGCTTATAAAGTGAAAAATGAAATGATTGCATATTCTGACATCCTTTTCATTTGTATTGTGGACATACTGTACTGTATTTAAAAGGCTTTTGGTTACATAACTCATTTCCATCTTTAATCCTAAGTGATATACAGTACAGTATCTGTATCTTCTGGCATATGTTACTTGTGGATAAGGTACTGTCTTAAATACTTGTTAATGATTATTATGCATAGAATTTTAATACATTTTTTTTTAATTTTAAATGAGAATATATATTTTGTAATTTTTTACAGAATTATGGTTGCACCCCAAGCAAATCTCAACTTGAGGATGCTGGAGGCCTCTGCCCAATCTGCCATGATGATTTCCTTCTACCAACCATGTTAAGGTGTAAGCATATATTTTGTGAACAGTGTGTAGTCACATGGTTTGACCGAGAGCGAACTTGTCCAATGTGCAGAACACAGGTGGCTGATGACCCAGCATGGAGGGATGGCAGCACCTCACATTTTCTGCAGGTTTATTGATGTGAAAGTTTCAGATGTGGCCATTGATTGTAAAGTAAGACATGTTCGACTTTTGGGTGGCTCCAGAGAGCTATCAGGTATTAACTATAAGGAAGTGATAATATCCTAAAATTGCAGTACCAATAGGTTAACTAGAATATTTATATTTAAAAGACACTTTATTGTAATTTTTTATTTTGTTTCTGGCTTAAGGATTAGGAAATTTTTCATATGTACTTGTAGTTGTCAATGTTCCTCAAGCTTTAAGGATAATAGGAAGACTAAAGCTTTGTGAGGTACAGTAAACAAGGGCATTTTGGAGTGTGTTTAGCCTACTGACAAACATTCATCAGTAGTTAAAGGTCTGAGTATAGTAGATAGTGTTGAACATTACATCATATTTATTTTTCTAACAAATTTTGTAAGAGAAAATTATAGTTTTAGGGGTGGGCTCCAGGCATAATTTTTAAGAAATGGTGAATATTATGTTTCACGTGTAGATTACAGTACCTGTACTGCATATGCTTTATTTTCATAATGAATATCATTTACTTTATTTGAACTTTGTAAATTTACTATTTTTTAATTACAAGCCTAAATCAGCTAAAGGATCAAAATAAAATTTATGAAGGATATACAGTAGTATACAGGCATTCCCTGATTTTTCAAAGGGTTCTGTTACTGGAAAACCTTACATAAATTTATTTTCTTGTGTATTGGAGCACATTTTCCCATAGACTTCCATTATAAGAACTGAGATATGTTTCTATAAAAAAGAAGAAAACCTTCCTTAAAATAAGAAGATAAGAACATAAGAATGGAGGAAACTGCACCGGGCCTATTGGCCCATACTGGGCAGTCCCGTTTACACCCAACCCCTATTGCTCATATAAGCATCCAACCTATGTTTGAAGCTATTCAGCGTATTCAAGTTAATGATGATATTTGGTAACTTGTTCCATTCATCCACTACTCTGTTTCCAAACCAGTGTTTACCTATTTCACGCCTAAATCTAAATTTGTCCAATTTAAAACCATTGTTACGAGTTCGCTCCTGGTTGGATAGTTTGAGTACCTTTGTAATGTCCCCTTTGTTTAGCCCTGACTTTCACTTATACACCTCTATCAGGTCGCCCCTTGCTCTACGTCTCTCGAGGGAGTGTAAATTAAGATGCTTTAACCTGTCTCTATACTCAAGGTTCCTAATGCCCGGGATTAGTCTTGTCATTCTCCTCTGAATTCTTTCCAATGATTCTATATCCATTCTGTAATACTGTGACCAGAACTGAACTGCGTAATCCAGGTGTGGTCTCACAAGAGCAAGATACAGTTTTAGGATGACCTCGCTAGTCTTATAACTAACACTCCTTTGTATGAACCCAAGTACTTTATTAGCCTTGTTACGAGCAAAAACACATTGTTTACTTGGCTTAAGGTTCCTACTTATCATTACTCTTAAATCTCTCTCGCAGTCGGATTTCTCTATGGCATCGTTGTTCATCTGGTATCTGGTTTCCCTGTTTACATCTGTTTACATCTCCTATACTGAGTACTTTACATTTGTCCTCGTTGAATTTCATCTACCAATTTTCAGACCATTCGAAAAATTTGTTTAGATCTGCCTGTAGTTTTGCTGAGTCCTCGTCAGATTTAATAACACGTCCTATTTTAGTGTCATCAGCAAATTTACTTATGTTGCTGTCTATGCCGATATCTATGTCGTTTATGTATATAATAAATAAAAATGGTCCAAGTACTGAGCCTTGGGGAACTCCACTTTTGACGTTGCTCCAATGGGACTTAGTGCCGTTAATGCTCACTCGCTGTTTCCTGTCCTGTAACCATGCCCTAATCCATTTAAGGATGTTACCTTTGATGCCATGAGCTTCTACCTTTCTAATTAGTCTTTCGTGGGGGACTCTGTCGAAGGCTTTGCTAAAGTCGAGATATACCACATCATAATTGTGCCCCTCGTCCACCGATTCAAAACTGATGAAAAGAATGTTAATAGACTAGTTAGACAAGAACGTCCGCTTGTGAAGCCTTGCTGGGAATCATTGATCAATCGGTGCTTCTCCAGGTGATTTCAAATAGAGTTTGAAATGATTGCTTCCAGTAATTTGCCTACTACTGATGTTAGACTGATTGGGCAGTAGTTAGAGGATAGTAATCTATCCCCCTTCTTGAAAATCGGTATTACATTCGCTATCCTCCAGGATTCTGGTACTACACCTGTTTTTAAGAACATGTTAAACAACTTTGCTAAGGGCATACTAAGCTCTTCCTTACATTCCTTTAATACTCTGGCAAATATCTCATCGGGACCAGGTGACTTATTAGGCTTTAGTTTGTCTATGTGCTTACTAACATCGTTACTAGTCACTACTATCTCGCTTAATTTGTTTTCTTCACTATCTCTGAATAGAGTCGGTGCCTCGGGTATCATGTTTAAATTTTCGGTGGTGAAAACTGTTGAAAAATATTTAATCAAATTATTGCTCATTTCTCCGTCATTATCAGTGTGCTCGCCGGTATCTGACCGTATTGGTCCAATCTTTTCTCGTGTTTTAGTTTGATACATTTGGTAGAATCCTTTGGGGTTTGTCTTCGCCTCCCTTGCTATCCTTACCTCATTATTCCTCTTGGCTTTTCTTATCTCGGTTTTAACCCTACTCGCCAATATCTTATAATAATCCTGGAGGTAAATTTCGCCATGCTTTATCCTTCTACCTATAGCCTTCCTTTGGCCAATGATGTTCTTTAAATAATTATATTTATCCATTTAGGGTCATTGTTGTCTGATCTGAGTTTTTTGTATGGTATGTTCTGCCTCTGTGCATTAAGTAACTCATTATTTAAATTGACGTGGAACTCGGCAGTCTCAGATGTCGTTATCAGGTCGGAGTCATCTGTCAGGTTCACGGCCAAGCGCGACACCCCCTCTCTCAGCTGCCTCTTTAAACTGTCAAAGTTTGCCCTTCTGAAATCTGGTACTTTAGTGGAATTTTCCTTACGTCTGCCCTGAAAATCTAACTGGAATCGAATTTCTGTGATCGCTGTTTGCAAGTTCGTTCCCTACCTCAACATTGCTAATGAGGTTTTCTCTGTTTGACAGAACTAAATCGAGTATATAATTACCCTGTGTGGGTTCGGTTATATGTTGACTTAGGAAACAGTCTTGGATCGTCTCGAGAAAATCCTCTGATTCTGAGTTGCCCGTAAGGTCAGTCCAATCTATTTGGCCAAGGTTAAAGTTGCCTACTATACAGACTTTGTTGTGTATGGAAGCCCTGCGCATTTCATCCCAGATAAGTCGCTCATTGACTCTATCAAGATTGGGAGGTCTATATATTACTCCTGTGATTAATTTTTCCCCGTCGCTTAATTCTATCCAAATTGTTTCTGTATGCCGCTCAGTTTTTATTTCCTTATTTATTTCACACTTCAGATTATCCCTAACATAGATTGCTACTCCGCCTCCTTTCCTGGTTTGCCTATCGGTATGGAACAATTTGTAACCCGCAATTTGGTATTCGACCGGCAACTCACGTGAGTCTAGGTTGATCCATGTTTCAGTGAATGCTATTATATCGATTTTTTCGGTACATACCAAGGCCCTAATATCATCCATTTTGTTTCTCATACTTCTACTGTTCGCGTAGTAGACATTTAAGTTAGTCGTGTTCTGAGTCCTCCCTTTACCGCGTTTAGTTTTAAACTCCCTGTTTAATTTAGTTTTGTCATCATTCCAAACACTATTTCCCTGTAATCTTTTACTTTGTTTACCCGCTCCCACTGCAGTTTCCCCCACCCTCGTGCTCATATGTTCCCCTAGCAGTTTAAAGACTTCGATATTCTTTGAACTGCCCCCTCTAGAGACCCAGCCAGGGTTGCCACCCCACCCCGAGACAGGTGCACCCCATCCCTAGCATAAAGGTCTCTTCTGCCGTAGAAGTTGTCCCAGTTGTCAATGAATGGGACCGATATTGACTTGCAATATCTGTCAAGACGGTCGTTGACACCAACTGCCCTTGACAACCATTCACTACCAACTCAACCTTCTAGGCAGGACACCCCATATGATAGGGATCCCTCCCTTAGACCTAATACGATCTATAGCTGCCTTGAACTTATCAAGAAGCTCCTCGCTCCTACACCAGCCAATATCATTGCCTCCTGCACTGAGGCAGATAATGGGTTTGTTCCCATTACCAGACAAGATATTGTCCATCCTGTCAATTATATCCCCCACCCCAGCTCCTGGCAAACACACCCTCATCCTATTTTTGTTTTTACCACAAAAGGCCCTGTCCATGTACCTTACCTGTGAGTCACCAACAATTAAAGTTTTTATACCTTCCTTGTCATCCCTGTCCCTGACTGTACTAACGTCCAATTCGTCTATCAAGGGACTGAACGGGCTGGTACACTTAGCTGTTGTTGTCGTTGTTGTCGTATCCTTGGTGTACTTCTTCACCACCAGCTTCGTCTTCCCACTACTCACCACCTTCCACTCGCTTGAGTTTTCGTCAGACACTGGCTCCCCTTTTAAATTCGCCAGCTCTTCCTTTAATTTCAGGTTCTCCAACGTGGCCCTCTCAATTTCTTCCTTGGCCCTCGCCAATTCTTCCATGGACCACTCCAGTTTGGTCAACAGACTCACATACCCTAGACCGCACATAGCACTGGCCATATCTGATAATTATCCGTCGGGAGCTAACCCTGCCGTGACCTTTCCCCTAGTGAGGTCAGAACATATTTTTTAAATAAAATTTTAGGTGTACACATTGATTATATATCAGCCAACAATAAGCATAGTAAATGAAATACAAGCAGTGGAGCACACGGCAGTTAATGAGAATCTGTCCATTAGTTGTAGAGACACACCAATAGTAAGTCTATTGCACTGTGCATATACTGTACAGGTATCCTCTACGTTACTGAAACTCGGGTTGCGGAAATTATGACTAGTAAATTCTGGATACTGCCCATGAATTCGACCTTATGGAGATGGGGTAAATTTTCTAAATTTTCAACACAACAATCACGATAAAGAAAAAAATTACAGAATTTATTATTAATTGTGTTTGGATTTCTTGATGTTTGTTACCACCAAGCGTGAATACGCTGATGTACCCACGCCCACTCAGTTTGTTATCATCTCCCAGCATGTACACTTGATCTCCTGACCCCAGTTTTTTGGATTTAACACTAATGTGTGTATCTTATTTAAGACTGTCCAGTATATTATCCTTATTCAAGATGAGTGGAAAGAGGTCACCAAGTGCAAGTGAAAGATGTAGTGCTAAAAGAGCACATAAAGGAATTATGTTGGATGTAAAATTCATCTTATGCAGCACTCATCTTCATTTGTGGTGAGTTAATTCAAGTGTTTTGTGTACAGTATTATTTTTATTAATTCTTCACATTTACTGGTAGAATTGGGCAGTCATCCAGCTGACTCACATTGAGGGAAGGCGGCAGACTGGTTAGTCATCTATGCAATTACAGCTCACTGTCTCAACACACAAACATTCACTTCCCAAACATATACACCCATGCTCTTCTTTTTATTTTATTTTATAGTTTTATATTACATTTACTTTATTTCTAAGTAACATTAGAGCATTGTAATTATTTTTCAACAAACAACTTTTATAGTTTCACTACATGTAACAATAAACGCAATTATTACCCACCACCTCCACACACATTCAGTTCCTACACGTACGCACCCTTTCACTTCATTTGTCTTATTACATAGTTTTACATTATATTTCTTTATCTCTTAGCCACATTAGAGTAATGTAATGATTTTATTTATTTATTTCTCAAACAATCATGGACGAGTGATAAACACGCTGGGAGCAAGAGGTGGTGGGTGGGTT